TATCATCATGACCATCTTCATCTACAGTATATTATTTACATGTTGTTATATAATAATGGAAGGTAGAATAACCGAATAACAAAATAGAAAATACACCTTTTTAAAAATTTAAATTTGGTTTCTAATCTCCAAATTTTTCATCTAGTGTAATGTTTCATTAACTACAATATTAAAGCTTATCCACTTTTTAGTTGACTCAACGGAGCGACATGCTGGAAACCATCTGAAAGATCCCTCGACCTTCCTTTTAAGTTTGATTTTAAATTTTGAGAATAGTCCATGTAGCCTAAATCATTTTAGTGTTTTGTTTCTTTATGCGTCACTATGGTTGTACTTCACATTATAGATTATGCTCGTAAATAAAACCAACCAACAAATCAAGCGATCGAGAGGGAAAGCTCAAAAACGTTTCAAGAAATGCAAAAATAAATATATATGTATTTAATTATCAAGGAAAATATATAGTTCTTAAAAGAAAAGAAACGGAAAAAGAAACGGCATACACAATTGCATGTTTAAAAAAAAAAGGATTTCAGGCTCAAATTTACAACACGATCACGGTTCATATAAATCTAAATCGTGTACATGCATACTTACATTGTGAAAGTGGCAAGCACTTTTTATACAAGCAATTGACGTCATACATATCGCTAAAACAATCGGATGCGTCAAGGACGCTGTAGTGATTAAAATACATAATAATTAGCAATTAACGTCGGTAGCCCTTGTAATCAAATATGTAGAAAGGGGGCTGCATGAGGGGAATCCTCATGAGACAACATATCCAACGAGATCAATTTGAAGGGGTGTCGCAAAAGGGGTGCTCTTAAATTATTTGTATAGGCTGTCGGAAGCTCTTTAAAGAAAAATAAAAAAATTAATTAGTTTTTCTTTTAATTGCTTGCTTGCTTGTTGGCAAAATTGTGCCAGCATCCCGCCCCCCCCCCCTCCCCCCCGGAATGGCAAAGTGATGCCCCTGGTTCCTTGGCTTGCATGTGTACCGTATGTCAGATATCCAAGTCATGTACAATCTGTCGGGGTTACTAATTAACATTTGATGAATCTCATTCTTATTCACGGCTCAGTGGGATTGCCATCTCACGGTCGGTCTTGTTAAAGAGAAGGTTGAGTTTTGGGAAGAGGTGAAAAATAGTTTGTGAGCGTTATCATTGTTATTACGGTAATTATGCAAGTGTGGAAAAACATCAGATACAAAATGTTCCCTGAAAAGCATGGCTCTTCAAATGCCTTAATATTCTAAATATGGAATGTTAACATCATACAAATCGGGACGGATTTTTATGCTACATGCTCTATTCGTGTAGTCCACATCTTTCTGTGTACAGTGCTTCTAACTTTACCACCCCCCCCCCCCAAAAGACACACAAACACATACAAGAAAGCAATGGTACCTTTAGAGCATTTAGAAGCCACGCAGGACTGTCCAGGTACCTTCCAACCCGATCCCTCCTCCCTCCTGATCTAAAAAGATTCTGCCCACCCCCCCCCCCCCCCCCCCCCCCCCACCATGTATCGTTCATTTGACACGCCACTACTGGCAGCTGCGTAATGCATTCACCAAAATAACATCCATCAAAATAACATCCATCCATTCTTTTCTAGCTCACGCTCTGATTTTATTTCCTTTAACCCAGTTTTTGTGTAAAGCATCGTAACGAATTATTAATTGCGTTCCAATTAATGTATTGTACGCATGCAGCCATTGGTTATGGTCAAGAAAGAAATATTTCCACCGCATCAATTTAGCCAATCCAGGTCTGCCCTTACAATGCAATAATTATTATGTGGACAGATCATGACGCAATTTTAGATATCTTCGCGTGTGTAAGTGTCATTATCAAACACTAATTGGTCTCTATATCTTATGGCTTGCGTTGTTCTACCTTCTGTTCGATAAATGTTTCAGATCGTTCTCAATGATAGTATCATTGAGAACGATCTGAAACATTTATCGAACAGAAGGTAGAACTTCCTCGCGAAGATTGTATCATAGACATACGTTTTAAACTAACTCATCTATTCAATCATCTGTTTAAGTTTTTGTCGTTTTCTTTGTGTTTCTTCTAACTATTACTGTCATTGACAACGTCTGAATATCCTTTCTTCATCATCCTCCCCTCCCTCACTCCGTAGTTCTCTGCACCCTCTCTCTCTCATATAGTAGATAATTCTTCAAATATCTTCAAAATCAACTAGGATGCATTCATTGATGATAATGATAACAATAATAAGTCTCTTGTCAGCCTTTGTGTAGGCCTTACAGTATTTCAGGGTCAATTCCAAAAGGACAAATGAATGCTTTCAAACACTGACCCCTTTCTCCCCCCCCCCCCCCCCCCCCCCCCCCCCCTCTCTCTCTCTCTCTCTCTGTCTCTCTCCCTCCCCACCTATGATGAAATGAATATCTGCACTTGTGTTTTGTTGACATGTAAAGCTCAAATTATGTGTGCTCATGAAATTATGATGCACGATCTTGGGCAGTATTATTTTTCTCAAACGATTGACCCTAATATAGAACGTTGCACAATAGACGCTTCTCTTACTGAGAATCGGCGACATTGATCTCAGTGTACAGACGACAAATTGGTATCATGCGCGAATACAAAACGCTTGTGTTCGATGGCGCGATATTAACTCGTCCACAATGGAGACTTTATACCCGGTGCTATAGGCACCGGGGGGGGGGGGGGGTACGGCTTAACAAGACCTAAAATATCTCACTTCCAGCTCCCCATACATGCCCTTTGGTAATGTCATATGCACTATACTGCAGAATGAAATGGTGTTGGTTACTACAAGCTTTGGAGGAAGTCATATTGGTATTACTGAGACAATTTTGTTATAACATTTCCTCATTTTCTTAAACTTGTAGAATTTTGGCCTGTAGTTGGCTATAAATCAAGATATTTTTATGGAGGCTATATGATGATAAATCTTACACGCCCTTGTGATTTATATATCATAAAGGTGTCGGGATTCGTCTTCAGTCTTACAACTGCTGTATCAAGGTTTACAACTGACATTTCCACCTTCGTACAGTTGTTTTTTTTAGCTCTGTGTTGTCCTTGCAAATTGAAACTTGGTAGTTTATTTAATATGTTCCCCAAAAAATTGTGATGTCTATGTCGAGGGGCCCTACTCCGAGCTAGCTCAAAAAAGAAGAAAAAGGAGCATCGCTTGCATTTTAGTGTATTCATTTATGACTTGTACTTGTATGTTGTTCTTTATATGAGTAGAAAAAAAAATCCCTTCAGTTAATCTCTTCATAATACAATCTTCATAAATGATGGGATTATGACAAATGAGTTAGTAATTATAAGAACCCTTTTTATGGTCGATCTGTTCTAATTGCTGCTTACAGATGTCATGTTTTAATTTGCTAGGAATTTTCTCGACATATGAATAACTAGAGATATCTGCAAACATATTTGTGATGTTTTCTGAATGTACCCAGCTTGTCCAATGTCGATATATTGTTGCTGCTACCAGATGTCATATTTCAATTTTAATATTTGTTTCATAGGTGATTGATATCTTGTTAATTTAAGCATGACAGAACAAGATCAATACTCGTAAGTCAAATGCCCTGAATATAAAGCTATTTATTATTGCCCGTACACATCCCCAGCGCTGGTGGACTTGTGGGGGGGGGGGGGGGTCTTTGTTTTTTTCAAAATGGAATGGGTGGAGAATTGAATTTTTGCGATCGATTGAAAATTGATTGACTGGTTGCGGCCTTCCTATGTTCTGTATTTAGCGAGCGAGGAGAAAATAAAATTCCTCGAACGATGTTAATACTACTGTATATTTTTTTTTCTGAAGGGAGTTTAAGTGATGAATAAAGCTAATTCTGCAATCTAGTAACTTCATTTGAAGTAGGGACAAATCCTACTATAAGGAAATGGCATCCGATTATCTTCGATTAAACCAATATTTTATGTTTAAGTGATGAATAAAGCTAATCTTGTAGTCAAGTACTCCCTTGGGATGTATTAGGAGCACATAGCTTCCTTTTAAGTAGGGAAAAATCCTACTAAAGAAAATGTCATCCGCTTATCTTCGCTTAAACCAACATATTGTTATGTCGGTGGCGGATGCATAAATCTGGAATGAGGGGAGAGAAGGGGAGGGGGGGGGGGGGGCAGGCGAACAATGCCGAAATGATACACATTGAAGGGGAACACGATCGCAAACACTTTCGAAAAATCAACCCAGGCTAATTCAAATATATCCTAGTCCATCACCTATTGAAATATTCGAACAGTCCAATGATAATATTCGAACATTATACAATGATGATATCCGACCATAGGTAATACAATGGGTATTGAATTGCCCTAAATCGGAGTTGATTTCTTGAAAGTCTTTGCGATCGTGCTATGGGTAACTTTTATTGTCCATTCAAGGTATGACAACTAGGTTAAAGGGGAGGGGCGTAGTTGTGCCACTAACTTCACCCTGGTATTTAAAAGCTATTTGCTTGTAATTCATGACATACATCAATTTAAGTTTATATAACAGCATAGGTCATACAAAACGGCGGTGAAACATAAGAATGCATGGGTTATCGACATGCATGTGCATGCTAAAGATAGCTAGACTGAACAAACTTCGCCCCGATATTAGTTATCAGCTTACAAGTCATTCATGGCATACGTCAAGGTTTAAAGATGTAGCCAGGCGCGGATCTAGGGGTGGGGTCGAGCGGGCCTTGCCCCCCCCCCCCTCGGTTACAAAAAAAAGAAAAAAAAGATGGGCCAAAAAAAATTGTGACCAGAAATTTACCTCTCGTTTTTTTTTTAGCTCGAGGGGGGGGGGGGGGGGGGGGGAGGGGGTGTTGAGCGAAATATCGGCCGGGGCGATTTTCAAATTTCCGGGGGCAAAAAAGAAAACAAATAGTGATCGATACCCCCCCCCCCCCCCCCCCCCCACCACCACCACCAAATAGAAATACTACATTTAAATATACATTTACATACCATATCCTGTCTGAGACGATGAATTTGATGTCCCAATCTTGAGAAGCCACCATCATCGGATGACGCCGATACGGTAGACGCGATGGAGACCTTATCCTCAGCCGATGCCTCGCTCATCGAGCAGCCCGAGTCGGGACTTCGACGGGCATTCTCGTCGTAGTCGTCGTCAAGTTCGAGAAAGATGGTGTCCGACTTCGTCCGACTTTCGGCGGTGTCGAAAGAGTTTGTGTTGTGGGAAGACGATAAGGAGGAAACTAAAGCGATTTCGTCGAGTGAAATAATACCACCTTCGTGGTCAACTCCAGCAGTTTGTCTGGTTCCATCTTTCTCGGATAAACCAAGAGCACCACTGACGTCTAGACTAGGATCCGATCCAGGGCAAGAATTGGAAGCGTCGGTCAAGACGGTATGCGATACGGTGGTTGAGATGGTGGTCGAGACTAATGGGTGTGTTGGTGGTGGAAGTAGGATAGATCGGAGGCAGGTAGGCATAGGACCAAACCGAGCCTCGGCTTCACCAAGAACCTCACCCAGAGGAACAACTTGGTCCTCTTTCGGATCCGTCGATGGTGATTCTTCATCTGCCATGACCATCGTTGACCCGTCTCTTCTTCTCTATCTCCTAAATCAACGTTTGTCAAATTGTTATATCCAGTCCATTTCTAGATCAAGAACATCTTTTTCATATATTAATTCAGCACGAAATGACTAGATGAAAGATAATCTATAGCTCCTTAAACGCACATTGCACATTCACAGTATTAATATAAGTTCCGCATATCTCTTGCTAGACGGGTTACATCCGTATTTTGCCGCATCCTGTGGTAGTTGAATACACGATCATCTTTTTATGATAGGTACAGTATGACGTGAGAAACACAAACAGCTCTCTATCCACCGTTACAATCACCAATAAAATCCTCAAGTCGTGCAATGTGTTTACTCCATTTCGCTTTCTCTGTAATGGAGAAAAATAGATTCACGATGCATCAATCCGGCATTGCAGACGTCATCGCTATCTCATAAACCGTTGGACTGGTCACTGTGTTTTTAATATATTTCAATACACAGGAATCCCACTATTTGCTCAGTATGTATGCTTTTCTCGTGATATGTCACAAAGTGCAAACCCTTCTTGATAAGGGAATATTCAATCTCTGTTCGTAATATAAGGTAGATACATGCATGCACCACGGTCAGCGGTGGAATGAAAGCATACAGCGACTCGCGGCGCTTTTTATCGCAGGTCAATACCATCAAAGCACGCGTACAGATTTTATGCTCCTCTCTTCGTCTTCGTCAGGTGGCTAGCTGCATGCAAAAGCAATTTAGTATTTTCATTCCATGCTACATCAGATCTCAGTGACAGCGTGTTGTGTCAGAGAAGCAGCCAGCTTTCGGTCGCCTTCCATACGAACTCCGTTTCATTTATTAGCGGGGAAGCTGCGGCAGCTATTTACAAATTGGAGCTCACCCAAAATAATGAATCAGGCTTATGACGTGGTTCACTGCTTGGGCACTAAATAAAAGTATATCCCCTTTTCTTTACAAAGATTATACGCCGCGACCCCACCCTACAATTTTTCTTTCGAATCCGATCAAAGACGGTAACAAGTATAGTTATGTGCTATTAAAAAGGGCATTGCAGGGTAATAATCATTTTCTATTCCTTCTCCTCGTTTTGCGCCATTAATTTTCTTTGACTCGTGATATATTGAGTTGAGATTCCAATAGTTGCATGGACAAAAGGAAAATGCCCCCATGCAGCGGAACGTGGTATAAGTTCGTGTTGTGTTGATTATCGCACTTATATAGTTATTGAGGTATGATAATGCTTAAAGGGAAGTGAAATATTTTCACCTATTTCCTATTTTTGGTAAGCCTACGTTAATATTAAACGAAACTTTTGGTCTTCAATCTGAAATCAATCGTGAATAAATGAAATGCTGAGAAGAAAAGAAAACGTGCGACCTTTGGCAAGAATTTAGTGAAAGTACAGTGGGGCTTTAAATCTTCTTATTGTAATTAAGAGGCTAAGTTAAGCTTCATTTGAGTTGTCTGCGTAGCTTCAAGGGTATATCCAGAGTCTGATCTATTCACATTCCTGGAATTATAATTACGGTGTGAGGGATTTAAAATGAATGATCCAACGGCCCATGTACGTCGACCACTCACTGCGACTCACACACATAAAGTCAAGTAATGAGTGATTATAAAATACGAATATAAATACAGGGGCGGATCCAGCCGGAGGCAGGGGAGGGGGCCCAAATCGTGAAAAATATTTAGCAGCAAAAACAGCCGGCTGATAATTCGAGAGGGGGGAAGTGAGCACTGATTTTTTTTTTTTGGGGGGGGGGGCCCTCGAAAATTTGAAAAATCGCACCCCCCCCCCACCCTTGAGCGCCAGGGGAGGGAGCCCATCTCCAAAAAAGGTAGAAATAACGTGTTTTTATACGTTATTTCCCCAGGGGGGCCGGGCCTCCCGGGGCACCCCCTGGATCCGCCACTGTATAAATACTTGCACTGTGCTGCACTTATACCGCATGCGTGTCTGGTTTATTAAATTTCCTACTTCACCTCCACACACATTTACATATTCATGAATATGCATCTGTGTATCCACATCAATGGTATGAAAATGAAACAACAACCCTAACATCAAATCATAGGCCAAGTTGTTTGTCAAGTAGACCACCTCACAGCAACACATTAGTGAAAAAGAAGCTGATTAATATTGCATTCTAATATTAGTCATTAGTCATTAGACTTTCAATAAATCAACGTATTACGTGCATTGATCAATACCATATTGTATACCCTAAAGTAAACATTTTGGGATTATATGATACATGTAATATTGTATTTAACTGCGAGATTCGCCTATTTCAGTAAATGACACACAGGGCCTTATTTGAAATTGTGTAAGATAATTTCTTGAAAACCTTTGCGAGGGTATTTTGATTAAAATGAATAGCTCTCACACGGCTTGCCCTCAATAAGAGTCAATGAGACTAGTTTCTATATGTTCTTAACTTCCACAGCTTAAATTCGAAATTTCTGATTCGGAGTTTATATTTTTTTTAGGGCAATGCATAATTGTGTCCAGAAGTTTTGGGGAAAGGAGCTCAACCTGAGCAAAGAACTGGTCTAGGTTATTATTCCATTGATGTTTTATTTCCAAGTCAATTCAATTCAACTCAGACAAGGTTTATTTCGAAAAAAACATAGAAATGATGCACATGCTGCAGCCAAAAAGCTGAAATGTATATGTTTGCAACTATCGAGGATACATCTAAATAGAAAAGAATATCCATTCACAAAGCATATCTACATAATCTTACACTGAAAACATGAAAGATAAAATACCAGGCGCGTAGCCAGGGGGGGGCGGTGGGGGCGGTCGCCCCCCCCAAAACGCCGGCCAAAAAAAAAAAAGAGAGAAAGAGAAGAAAAAAAAGAAAGAGGACGTAGGAAGAAAAAGGGAAAAGGAGTCGAGAACGGTACAATGAATCGTCAAAGCTTCCGCGCTTCGCGCGGGAAGGGGGAAACTGAGTTCAAATTAAGAAATATGAGTCGGGAAAGGTACAACGAATCGTCTTCTTTCTCTAATCTAATATGAAACGTCAAAGCTTCGCGCGAGAGGGGGGGGGGGGGGGAACAGAATTCAGACAAGGATTAAGAGTCGAGAAAGGTACAACGAATCGTCTTCTTTCTCTAATAATTTAATGAAACGTCAAAGCTTCGCGCGAGAGGGGGGGGGGGGGGAACAGAATTCAGACAAGGATTAAGAGTCGAGAAAGGTACAACGAATCGTCTTCTTTCTCTAATAATTTAATGAAACGTCAAAGCTTCGCGCGAGAGAGGTGAGGGACTGAATTCAGACAAGGATTATGAGTCGAGAAAGGTACAACGAATCGTCTTCTTTCAAAGCTTCCGCGCTTCGCGCGGGAGGGGGGAAACTCCCCCCTCCCTGCACCCACCCCCCTAGGGAGCGCGCTTTGCGCGCTCTTTAAGTAATTCGCACGCTTCGCGTGCTCACTACCGCCCCCCTAAAATGAAATCCTGGCTACGCGCTTGTAAAATACTGGTCTGATTTAAAAGACAACTGACCAAATATTACGAAAGGGAGGTTTTTTGTTGTTGTTTTTTGCTGCTGTAGTTGTTGTTGTATTTTTTTCATAATCACAACTCTAAGAATACAATGACGTAAACTTAAACAACAAAAAAACACAATTTATAGGCCGGTTGTTACCCTTTTAGTTATGGGACGCTGAGCTGGTTAATCTTGCAAAACTAAGGAGCATCTTATTTCCGAAGATCAGTGATACTGTTCCGCTTTGGTGATTTTGTCTATTGTTTGCTTGGAAGGTTAAATGCGTATACATGTATTAGGTGTATTGATGAAGATAGGCTTGAGAAGGTTTAGAGTAGAGGGTACGAACGTTTGCCGGACAAATAAATGAAGTGGAATCGAGAGTTGTCACAGGGCTGTGTCAGTAAACCCCCACCACCCCCGCCCCCCCAAACAAAAAACAACAACAAACAAACAAACAATGATAATGATTAAATGAACAAATGAATACATGTAAATATACAACAAAAAAAACTTTCCACAATTTAAGTCATAATAACGACTTTTTCATCCACTCTTCATGAGAGTTTAGTAAATGTTTAAATTTTACAGGCACTCTCTCTATCTCTCTCCCTCTTCCTCTACCTTCTCCATCACCTGATGTAGGTAAACAAAAAGTAGTGGCACGGCTCGAACAGATGCTCCCTGGGCCCCATTTCACAAATTGTTATCAGTGACAAATTACGGTTTTTGTTCTAAGCTAGTGAAATCCTTGCTTCTGATTGGTTATCAGCAGCTTTGTCACTGATTTTTGTCTTTGTCATTGAAAAATGGCTTTGTGAAACGGGTCCCTGATCACAAAATGAATAACTGTTGAAATCATATGTTATGATAATGACACAGAGGTAAATCTTTCCACTCCCTAACGGACCATCAGTTAGATTTGTGAATTACACTGTAACAACCAAGGGCGGCGATCCCGGGGGACGGGGGGGGGGGGGACACGTCCCCCTCAATGTATAGCAAATACTGACTAAATACTGCAACTCACTTTTATGCTCTGCAGGGCCCAAGAGTGCAGTGTTTGGACAAATAAAAACGCAAAAATCTTCTCACTCGCCATTCACTTGCTCATTACGCCACTGCTCTTCCCTCGCATTTCGTCCCCCCCCCCCCCCCGGTCATGAAAAGAAATCGCCGCCCCTGGTAACAACTTTTAATTCACCACTGTATTTCGTTAAGCTATTAAAGAGCGTCTGACTGTATTTGTTGTCATCTCTCCTCTTTACACATGTAAGGCTACCATAATCCTAAAATCCTAAAAACTTTGTTAGCGCATAAGTCCATAAGATATCACGGTCCAGACATTTGGAATGCACTCCCTAGACATATTAAACAGTGTACATCTGTCTATTCATTTAAAGCTACATTAAAAAAACACATTATTTCACAATATAATGTATAAAGATTAAAAAAAAAATAAAAGCGTTCTTTGTAAAACTTTAGAAACTACATTAAATTTTGGTCTGACGTTACATAGTAATACTGATGATTCAACATTTTGGCGCATGAGGACACTTGCACTTGCACACACACGCACCACTCGCACCCTTGTTTTGTTTAGTTTCTCTCTCTTATCTCTGTCATTTACGTATAATTAGTAGCCTTATAAAGATGAGATTCATATGCTAATTCTATAATTATTTTATTGAATCCAATTGTTTATATTCACATTTAATTGTAATATATATCACTTGAGTATCATGGCCCCCTCTTCTTGTTACTTTGCCAATATTTCACAACTCATCTTTATTTTAGCTCGGTTGACCGTCTGCTCAAGCTTTTGCTTATAACGGCGACCTTCTGCTTTCTTTCTTTATACACGCAAAGGCCCAATGTATAAATTTACTCTTACTCATGTATTATACATTTGTTTCTATATTTTGTATATTGTTTGCATACCTTATGTTTAATATAATTATCCATATTTGTTGTATAACTGATTTGTTTGATTGCAGAAAATAAAGTCTTTGAAATGAAATAATTTGTATCAGTCTGTGTCTCTTGTCTCTCCCTCTCTCTCTCTCTCTCTCTCTCTCTCTTCTCCCTCCCCCCTCTCTCTCTCTCATAAACTCATTACAATTCTCTACTCTCATTAATCATTCTCCAAATTTCATCGTCATGTCATACTTCTTACTGTTCCATTTGCAACACAATTAAATATGAATAATTTGAATCAGAAATTCCTATTTAGAGTTGAAAATTATTTTGCACACTTTGTAAGCTGTCAACAATCATCATTCCTCTTCCTTCACATCCAATCATAGGCACAGCTAGCTTCTCTCAATGATCCATTATGATGAGGATGAGGGCAACTAAGCACCCCCCCCCCCCATCCTCACCCACCTCCCCCTAAGCTTCAATAAAACAATAATGCTTTAAGGAAAACAGTTGAAGAATCACAGATGAAAGGATAGTTTCATGTTATTGCAATGTATTTCATGATAAAATTGGCTTCAAGTACTTAAGAAATTACATGTATATGTATTTGGGAAAGGAGACGCAAGCTCGACCCATTTGCAAGTTGAATTGATAAAATAGAGAAAAATTTAACAAAGTTTCATTAAAATTTGATATATTACGTTTATTAAAATTCCAGGTTTTTCTGTAGTTTGGACACACCTGTATTAAAAAAATCCTTTATATTTCCATAAGTTACACTATGATTTGCACATATTCCATTAAGATTCAAGCCATGTTTCACATTCCCAGAGCAGAAAAGTGGTATTTTTGTTAAATTCTATACAAAACGGATAGAGAAATGTTAGGGGATGACATCCTCAGCTCACTAATTTCCATACAACCTATGTGTTCCATATCACTGTTTCACAAAATTAGGTGAAACTTTAAGATTCATAACTTCTAATTTTTCACCCTAAGGCACCTATAATGAATTGTAAGTTAAACTGGGGTCCCATGTGGGCAGCCAGTGACAAATAGTAAGGGTGAACGTATGCCTAGTTACTATTGAAGTTCAAATGACATTATAGTGGAGGCTACAAAAATACATTAAATAACGAAATAACATGTTGAGTATAAGATGACGAGTACGATAAAAACATATGTGGCTATTGATTTAATGGCTTAGCGATTAGAACAACATTTTCTGGGGATATATTTCTCTCTACATAAGATACCAGTTTGGCATCTAATCCTAGATTCCTGAGATAAATAATTCTACCCATATCCAAGATACGCTTGCATTTGAAGCCGATCTCCTCACGCTCTGGTACAGATAGGCCAAGAGAGCTGCAATAAAAGGAAAACAAGGAGTAAAAGAATTATATATATCACATAAAGAAATAGTGCCATGATAGCTATTATACATAGGTCTACTGTAAGTATAATTTATCATAGCAAATGTAACATGACTTTATTCAATGTGTATCTAAATGGCTAGTCTTGTGCACAGATTACATGGTGCTTAATAGTTGATGACAAAGTTTTATTCGGTGTAATGATAGCATACATCTGACAATGTATTCTTTAAAAGCCTTACTTACATACATTCAATTCTTATAATGAATTTCATCTGCCGAGTGCAATAGGGCCTTAATTTTTTTCAAGGAGTATATTTAACACCCTTTTCATCTGTTCTCAGCCCAAAAATGTATTCCTTATGATAATTATATGTGACTTGTTGTAGATTTTTATACCCGACAACGGACGCTTGCTCTTCAGGAATGTCAGAGTTCTCTCCTTCTACTCTTTCCTTTCCTTTCTTACTCCTTTCCATCAGTTCTTCAGTTCCAGATCCTTTCTGGGTCTCCTTCATTCCACCTTCCAACTGGTCATCAGTCAGACCTTCCATCTTCTTTCCATCCTTCCCATCCTCCTTGCCTTTCTCCTCCTTCTTGTTCTCATCTTTGTCCCCATCCTTGGCAAGTCTTGTTCCACAAGTGGCCCAGCTGCTCATCCTGACTAAGGCCATGAAGTCCCTCTCTGAGATACCTACATCCTGGAAGAACTGCTTGCCAACGTGGGTCCTCCAGGAACAGCGATGGTGGCAGCACAGTGCCATGACGACCCCCTTCACCGGGATGGTGGTGGACACCGGTGTGGGTTCTATGCTTCGACTTGCATCATCAGTTTCCACGACCTGTTGATGTGCGCTGGAGTTGTCTCCAGGTATTCCTTCATGATGTCTAGGCTCACTTGGAGAAGAGCCTTGTCTGATGGTGGACTGAACATCAGTCGGTCCATTGTCACTCGAGATATGCTGGCTATCAGGACTTCCACCACTAAAAGATTGGGGAGTACTTGAAGAGGAACGTTGTGAGGAAGATTGTTGAGTTGAATGTTCTGGGCACTGTGAATTGTCTTCGTCTCCTGGTTTGTTCATAGTAATCAGTGTCTCAGATGAAGCTTGGGGTATATTTCCTGTCCTTGTTTCCATAAGGCATCTAAGAGCTAGATCTAGAAAGACACAGAAATGCAGAGGTCTACTAAAATGCATCCATGCCCATGAATATAATACATTTCCAAACAAATTCAATATACAATTAGAAAATTGGTTAACAGGATAATTAACTACAGGTATCAATGCAAAGAGTATAGACACTTTCCTTTCCTCACACATAGAAATATCTTGACATCAAGAAGTTTATTAATTAATGATTAATAGCCAACATGCAATAAGAAGAGTGTATATGCAACCTCCAAGCTAAAAAGAGGATAATGATGTCAAGAAGACGATTGAGAAAGGGGTGAGCATAACGTTTTGATTCTTGATTCACTGAGCCGTACCATCACCACACATCTTACCCTAGACATGTTAAAACTGGGGGTTGTTTCACAAAGACTAAGATTGACTTTAAGTTGGACTTAACTATAGCAGGCCATTCATGCCACTAGTTCCTCTAACCATTCCTGGCATTGGTTTCTCAAGGGGCTTACAAAATGTGGTCACAGATCTTCAGAATTAACCTTTATTGAAAGTTTATTATTGAAGACAAAAATATTATCTGAAGATGATAATTGAGAGACCAATGGTGAGAGCAACCAGTGGCATGAATAGCCTTCCAAAGTTAAGTCGAACTTAAAGTAGATCTTAGTCTTTGTGAAACACCCCCTGAACATATAAGCTTCATGTCATTTACCTGTCGCTGCCCCACAGAGGTGTTTTGTGTAGGCCACCACAGGTCTGTTTCCATGGTTACATACATTAGGCACTTTCCCCAGGATCAAGTTCTCTATATCCATGCTGATGCGTTCATACCCTCCATCGTCTCGCTGGTAGAATGTATCTCTCTAGATTACGACATGAAGGAGAAAAATGGGAAAAAATAGAACAGCTCATACAATTATCTTACAGTGCATGTTCAAACCTACACATCCTCGGACTACAGACTCTTAGACATCTTCCTCTTCTCTCCTCCTTCCCCCCCCCCCCCCCAACTAAGTTTTCTGGGTTCATACTGATACTCTTATAGCGAGGTCCTCCATTACCTCACTGGTAATAATATCTTTCTAGAGAAAAACGTGATGTGGCAAAAAATGAGCTCTTGGTTATATTGTCATTACCAAAACTAATGAACATTATTTTTATAAATAAAGAATGGTTAGTACGTTTCGTGATTTTTCAAAAAGAGGATATATACCATAACATGGGCCTACATATTTCCTCATCTATCAGACCAAGGTTTCGTCATCAAAATTCCATTGCATTACCCAACGCCTGAAGGGAAAAATATCATGCCCTTGACTGTTCCCTTTTTTGTAAGGATTAGTTATGAAGTTCAAACAATGTATTTTTTTTAAAGCAGGACTACACTACTTGTAGCTATTTGCGCCCTCTTTAATAGCAAACAATACCTAAGCAGTGACCAGTGGTCCCTCATGATCCCCTTTTTCTTATGTTAAGTGAGAGCTGATTTGATGAGATAAACACCTGTCAGTGACCATGCTAGGAGGTCTAATCCCTCCTGACCAAACTAGTGCAGATAGGCTTTAAGTGTTTCTAAATGAGAAGTCAGACGGGTAGCTTAACTTTTTTTCCTGAACATAATGCATGCTCCAGGTGCCACTATTTACATGTACATGAAATAGCATTTAAAGAAAATACTTAAGTCAAGATGAGTGATACGCACGGTTAACAACTAAATTATTCATACCCTTGTAATTTGATGTCTTTTGTGTTTTTCGTAACTATGAATGAAAAGTGGACTGGTTGAATAAGGGCCTTTGTTGAGTACTATTAGATGTGAGCTTTAAAATGTCACATTCTCAGGAAACATAAATTGGTACAAATCAATCTTTCACATACTTAAAAAATTACAAAACTTGATTAAAGGGTATGAATAATTTAGTTGTTAACTGTGTATACCTTTTAGAGAATTATTGTTACCTTATGCCTGACAGCAGCCCTGTCTACAAGTAGAAAGCTAGTCTGTTCTAAATTCCCCATAGCTTGTTGTATCCATTGGGATAGTCTCCCTGGTAAAAGCACAAAATATACAATAAAAAAAATCTTGAAGAAATCTTTAACAAAAATGTTTTTAAACAAAAATGCACCTGATTACAATCTGTAAACAAAGTACAAATTTGTGTATCAGTTATTGTAGTAGTGCCATACAGCCTAATCCTTGGTCTATCGAACCCCAAGACAACTACCAACATATTGCAACTAATACCCAAGGACAACTACCTTATAGAATACCCCCATAAGATCAACTAAACCTTGTAAATCTTTCCACTGACAACGTCATCTATCACTAATACATGTACTGGGGTAAGCTCAACAAGTCGGGGGATGATCATTCTTGGGGGAAGAATCTTGAAGAAGTTATTGTTGTCCTAAGGGGATAGTTGTCCTGAAAGTAATTGTCTAAATACACCACTTCAGACCCCTCAATCATATTGCTCCTCTCAATAAAATTGACCTCTATCACCTACAAGTTTGTAAATACAATTTGTGCATGGTCAGATAAAAGTAATTTGTACAAAACAGTAAAGACCCATCAAGACAAATGCTGGATGGGTAAGTGTTCATGAAAGTGATGTAATCATTATTCATTTATGCATTGATGGTAGATTTTATGATGCACACTGAGAGGGTATTCTTCTTAGAGAGCAAATAAAGATATCATTCATGAAGCACCTACATCACTTTGGCAGTGGATATTCAAAATGCATAAAGTGTTACTTCTCCACGATCAAAAGATCTGTGGATATTTGAAGTCATTTGCTATCTACGAACTGGGGGGGGGGGGGGGGGCGTTTCAAAAAGCCTTTTTTTCAATGACAAAAAATCAGTGACAAATCTGCTGTTAACCAATCAGAAGCAAGGATTTCAGTAGCTTAGATCTGTCACTGATGACAGGTTTTGTGAAACACCCCCATAGTCTATTCTTTGCATCCTTGTTGCAGATTCTCTTACCTCTGCCAGCTCCAAACTCAACAAAGCAGGTGTCTGGCTGAAGAAGATCCAATCTGTTCATATGGCCTAGGAGTGAGTCGAGCTGAAGGAGGTGCTTCCTAGCTGTAACTCCATTCTCTGGGTTCTCTACTTCTGCTTTCAAGGCATCGTGATGGAGAATCTCTGTCTTTACGTCATGCACGTGTTCTAGAATCAAACATACACAGCACACCTTTTTGACATTTTAGTTCACCTTAAAGCCCCACTGCACTACTTATAGCTACTTGTGTCCCCTCTATATACATGTAGCAAATAATGCCTAATCGGTGCCTGTTGGTTCCCCATAATCCATCTTTTCCTTATGCTAATTGAGAGCTGATTTGATGAGATAACCACCTGTCAGTGACCTTGCAGGGAGGTCTAATCCCCCCTGGCCAAACCAGTGCAGACAGGCTTTAATAGTTTCTATGTCAAATAATATGTACAATTACGTTTCCAGATACAGAATAAAAAGACAATAATTAGGAGATTCAAGATAATTTCTATTTAATAAATTGTTATCCCAAGCATGGTCTCCTCCACACCTACCGTATACTATAGTTGTAAACATAATAATCAACCATATCATTCCTTGCTCATTGGCAATTGTGTGCATTATGGTTGATATCATTTCCTCCTCTTCATCATGCAGTAAGTGGTAACATCAACATTTAAAAATAGAGTTTTCATTTCAAGGTCAGCATTGTACCCAGTTCAGTCAATAACAAAACATGAAGAATTCATTACAATGTTCACCAAATTCAATTCAAGTTATTACCTGCATATGCGGATTCGACCTTGGATATGATTAGCTGAATTTCCTCCAGAGAAAAACTCGCCAGACGTAGCTGTTAACAAGATATATTCACAATAATATTTAATCACAGGTATTTAATCATACTATATATAGTAAAATTCATAATAGTAATACTATGATCTGTAATACTAATCTGGTACCCAACGTTTTCCATAAAATTTGTACCGGTAATGACTATGAATGTTGAACACACAGGGAATGTAAGCTCATGTAACCCCTTCCCCCTAATAAAAAAAAAATGGTAAGGACTTCATGCATCCGCTAGCTTTAAAAAATAAATCTACTATCACAGAATTAGTATTATAGATGCAAAAGTTAAGTTTAAAGACATTGTTATCCAGTATAAAAAATTGTATTTCACATACTTTGCACTTACCATTTCTAAATCCTTATCATATTCAGTTGAACCAGCATTGATGCCTTTCTCATAATAGATCTGGAAAAAACATAATTTTTTCAACACAAATTAGATAACATATTGATGAGACAGAGACAGGGTTGTTAATTTGTTATATATTAAACAAGGAAAATTAACAAAACTGGAGCACAGACTGTGAATCAATATCAACAAAATAACAAAACCCAAAAGTTTTAACATCACAACAGTACTACAGCCTACAGTCATTTGTCAACCAATAAGTAGCCACGGCAGAGCCGCTTTAGCTGCTGTCTGTCTTCTGTCTGTTACCACATGCAATGAAGGCATGTAACTCTTAATGCACCATACATTCAATCTCCCTGTGCCACATTGTAATATTCATCACATACATGCAGCGCTCAAAATACACGGGGGCGGTGGGCGATTCGCCCCCGTGAGCTACAAAATTGCCCCCGTCAGGTTGCTCACGGGGGCGATTGCAAAATTAAAAATCGCCCCGGTGGAATTATAAAATAAACATAATCTTTTCTGTTATAACTTTAACACAATATTGAGTTTCAATTTTCAAACCTTGAAAAATGGAACTAAGATTAGCATGCAAGATTTCTCGTTTTATGAGTAGGCCTATTATTACCGATTCAGCTCGCAGTGCAGTGCCGCCGTCAGCAGTGGTTATAGGCCTACTGCGCCATGTCTGCTGGAGCTGGAGGCGATCGGGCAAGGGCAGAAACATGGTCATGGCCTGGAGAAGTTTTTCGTTGTCAGCAAATAATGAACCTCGACCAGTAAATCAATATTAGGGACTTTTAGATGTGCACGATGAGAACGTGGACTGCAACGTGTGACCTCCTTTTAAGGCACTGCCAGTGCTTAAAAGGACGTCACATGTGATTGCCAGTGCCTTAAAAGGACGTAACAATGATATGGTAACATGGGCAGATCTACGGCATGGGGGGGGGGGGGGTAGGGGGTTTAACCCCCTCCTCCCACCCCCGGCCCCCTTGGGCTGCCAAGTGAAAATGTAATATTAATGCGGGGGGGGGGGGAGGTGGATTCTGGAGAGGAGGACTACTAATCTATTTTATTTTTTTCATGGGGCGGTGGGAAGTGAAGCGCCGTTTTAGCATGACTTTCTTTTTAACTCTTACTTTCACCTATCTCAGATAACCCTAAGTTTTTGGTTGCTGCTTTATATGTAGTTGATAATGCATGATTAAAATAAAAGAGAGAGAGAGAGAGAGAGAATCATTTTGCAATGGTTCAGGGTTCGTGTAATGTACATTTGAAACCATTTCTTAGCGTCTCGACCCTAAAAAATAGCAAAACTATTTTTGAGGAAAAGCATTATACTGAATTAAATAAAGAATAATAGCTTTATATTGGATCATACTAATACTGATATGGACTAAAGACAATGTGGTATTTGTATAGAGGTATTCCAAAATGACATTCTGATAATCAACATTTGTTCTGGTATCATACGCATAATACAACTGATCTTTATGATTTCTTAACGTGACATAGCTTCTTCTCCCTCTGCAAACAAAACAGAAAACAAGGTTATTTAATAAAAGGACCATGCGACAAATAATCATTGTGATTCAAATTGATGCAAGGATTTTTTTGAATAAGCAATGCTTTTCACCAGAATCTTCTTTGTAAAAACGACTTTTACAAATCTCAGCCATGCAATTCTGCCACTGTGCTGTAAGATCACTTTGAGATTAGGAGAAGTGTATTATGTGAAGGGTATTTTAAATTAAATGGAACGTCTCAACTCAGTAAGCATGGCTGAGATTTGTAAAAGTTGTTTTTACAAAGAAGATTCGGGTGAATAGCAGTGCTTATTCAAACAAATATTCACATCAATTTGAATCACAATCATTATTTGTCGCTTAATCCCTTTTAATGACCATGTTTTCTTTTTCGTTTGCAAGGGGAGAAGAAGATATGTCACGTTAAAGACATCATAAAGATCAGTGTTGTATGCATATATATTATATACACAGGCCAGTAACAGCTATGTAGCTTGTAAATTTGTAAGAGACAAAATGCTGATTGAAATGATAATGATGAAATAGCAAATAATTGAGGAGTATCATAGGTACCAATTAAATGGATATTTGTATAAAAAAGAGCCCCCGTCAGTAATAAAAGAGCCCCCGTGAGAAGGCTCACGGGGGCTCTTTTTTCGGGGGAAGAGCCCCCGTGGACAAAAAATTAATTTGAGCCCTGCATACATGTACATCGTAGGTCGGGTGGCAGAAGGGCGTTAGAGCATGAGCGACTCGAAAACTACTTTTCTAATCATTCACATTTAAAGATTTGTTTTATATTTAAACTGCTTTCCGTCCCGAAAATTGGTTTAAAATATTAAAGACTAATAGAAATGGTGTAGTAGAACGCGGCCACAATTTTTTGCTCGGAAATAAGCCAGTTTTATAAAAGTTTGAGGCGATTTAGTGCTAACGCCCTTCTGCTTAAAGTTTCATTATTGACCTGAAATTCGAGCTAACGCCCTTCTGTCAGCCAGGCGACGACATTACTAAAGGCTTCAAGATTATTGAACTGTTTCCAGAGCAAGACTAATCTATGCCGGTGTTAAAAGAGTTGTCATGGAATTGATCAAGACCATAAAATGATTTATTTATTCATTTATTCAGTCTTCTTTAAAAACACATGGTAGCCCCATTCAGTGCCACAAGGCCTGCTCTACAAGGGGCCCCTGTATCAAGTGGATATTACAATGTATAATTTTGCAAAGCCATTGTGTAGCACAAAATTAATCTTTCCATGCAATTGGTGCCTATTATTCTGTGGAAGATTGTACGTGTGGTAAGCTTGCAGTCGTGCAGGGAGGCAAAGAAAACAATTTGGAGTAAGATGTTATATATATTTATGTACTTACTGGTTGTTCTTTGGGCCTTGAGTTGCACACTTTGAAATGTTTTGCTAGTTGTTTTACTGCAACAGTACTGCAAGGGAGAGAAGGGGGGGGGGGGGGGGTGAAATGTCACTCTCGTAACAGCTGGTATTATCACAGTAGTGAGTACAATAAAATATGTAGCCAGCAAAAGCATACAGACTATACTGTGATACTTGTTTATTGATCAAATACCAGACTTAAAAGATGATACATTGGAAATAACAGTGTATGAAATAATATTACACAACAAGCTTAATAAATTTGGTTGTTCTGGGAGTGATTTTATGCATAGCAAACAAGAAAATCTGATAGAAAAGTAAAGAGGAATAAGAAAATCAAAGGAAATCAAATTGTAATTTGAAGCACCTAATCTATACACAGATTTTCATTTTTTTTAAATTATTTTAATACTAAAAAAAACTATTTTCTTAAACCTTGCTACATAAATCCCTATTTATAAAAAGAAAAAGATCACATATTAGGGTTACTCAAAATTGATATTGAAATAAGTGAAGTCATTTGAAAATTGAATGGTAATAACTACAGTAGCATACAGTAGTCATTTGAATCACTTAGATTTCTTTTCTAATACTTACTGATTGGGATCATAAGGACACGGAATTCGCCCTGTAGTATTTGACTGATCCTGAAACAAATAAGAGAGAGAAAGTGTTATTTACAGAATACATGTAGAGGAGGTGTGATAGCTCAGTGGTAGAGCACTCAGCACTGGTTTCGTAACCAGCAGGTCCAAGGTTTGAAACCAAGTCGAAGAGTAGTGCTCTTTGGTGAGGAATTAATCCTCTTGACCAAGTCCCTCGGAGAGGACTGTAATTAAGTCGACTGTCCTCTAGTTGCTTACTTACGAGCATAGAAATGCTTTATAGGCAGTCATGTTAAACAAACAAATATAGCACCAAACTGATCCAGGCAAAATTTCAACAGTCAATCACAAAATCTCATTTTACTATTGCTAGGGCATGCTCCACAATAGCCTGTTACCCGCTAGTTTTGAATTGTGCATCCAGGATGGTTAACTGGACTGTGGATTTAAAGATGTTTACATGCATTATTCTATATATTTTGAGACATGCATGCATTAGACAATATCATACAAATGAATATATTAATGATGGTTGGTATTATACGATGCTCCAGAGTGAGTCAATGCTAATGTGTATTGACCTTTAGCACTGCATACATTGCTAATAGGCAGGTATTTATACACAAATACACACCACATCTAGGACCGATTGGGCTGATCAGCAAATTTGACACTAGACTTACAATTTGAATTTTTAAATTCTTCTTTATAACATCAGTAAGTTGAAAAAATTGCATTTTACTGTTATTTAGGTGTCATCAATTGTCACTGTAGTACTGATTCTGAGTAAAATCAGTTGATTTTTGTACAGTGGTGTTTGAAATGTGAGAATCAAAAGTACGCGACTCATTCCAGATGTAAAGCATCTATGCTACGAAGACATACTCAAAACTCTCAAACTACCATCACTAGAGTGCCGTAGACAGAGGGCTGATCTTCTTCAAATATACAAGATCATGCATGGATTTGAGGCACTGAGGCAGTAGAGAAGAATGACATGTTTGAAATCATTGAAGAATCCAGAACAAGGGGACACAGGCTCAAAATAAGGAAGCCCCACTGCAAGTCTAAGATAAGGCAGATGTCATTTTCAATGCGGAGCATAAGTAATTGGAATAACCTTCCTGAAATTGCCATAAATGCCTCATCAATCAATAAGTTCAAGTCAAAACTCGAAAATCATTGAAAGCACCATCCGCTGAAATACTACCCATACCAACGCGAATCTAATGCAGTAAAGAGGGACACATATGCCGAAGCTTCAAGCCTCGACACCAAAGGAAACCAAGTAAGTAAGTAACAGCCCAAAAAATACACTGGGGCGGAGGGCACATTTGCCCCGGAAACACCATAAACAGCCCCCGAAATAGGCTCAAAATCCGATTCCGGGGGGGACATCAAAAAGTGAAATGATCTCAAATCGCCCCCGTAACGAATACGAGCGGTCGCGCGCTCTCTCTTCTAGCTTCGTATTCATTGTGTACATTTCTTGGTCCGCGCGCTGAATCTCTGTGTAAAATTGTATACACAAAAATCGGTCGTAGAAAAACTCGAAACATATTCCATACCTTACCTGGTTTACCATGTCGCACGCAAGTACGCCAAAACACGTACATTTTCGCAGTTGCGAGATCGAGACGCTCCATAGGGTCAAGTTTTTGGCGGTCGATTTTGTTTTGGTAGATCATATTAGCTGATCCTAGACCCTAAACATCGCGAAACTGCAATCAATTTCCATCACAAAGTCACGATTGCTGCAATTTTATAAAGTTTCCATAAAAAGAGGTATGAAATTAAAGCCTATTTTGTGATTATTCTCGACATGTTTACGTAATTTTGATAATCTTTTCTTCAAAGTAAAGAAAATCAGACAAAATCACAGTGACTGACATGCATACAATACAGTGCATTGCGGCTGTGCAGTGTGCGTGGGTTAAGCCGAGCACTAGCTGAGCTCGAGTCGAAGAGATTTGACACTTTGAAATTGTTATCTGTTGGTTTGCATCATTATTGCCGCGATTTCAATATAGTTTCGTGAATAGATGTACGAAACCCGAGCTTAGAATTAGTAAAAGCATTACTATTGTCTACGTTTTTAAACGTGAAAATTGTGAAAATTTTACTTTGAAAAATGATTATCGAAATTCATGGCCAGAAATAATCACAATCTAGGGTCTAGGCCTAGTCATGTTATTATGTTACAGTCCTTGCATCAAATCAATGCATGAAAACTTAGTTATTGAAATAGAAAAAGGGGTTTCTTTTTAATAGGCAATTATGAAGCAGGAAGACCGAAACCTTAGGCTTAGCCTACTCAACAAACTGGGGGCCGTTTCTCGAAATCAACTCCATGACAGTCATATCTTTGTCGGCGACCTACGGAGATGTCATGAAGCGGATAAACCGTTTCACAAAGCCATGAAAGACATGATATCGATATATCGCGATACTAGCAGCTCAAGAACATAGTCTTTGTCACGATCCATTTGATTTATCAAGAATAACCCAAAACAAGGTTTGGGGCTAAAATTGTTCAAAAAGAAATATATACATATAAATTCTCCTAAAATATATAATAAATAGTGTCATTATCATATTTACATCATCAAACGATTTGCATATTTCTGTAAAGATTCTTAAATTGAAGAAAAACCGGTGAGTGTTTTTTTCGACAGTCGAATCAAAAGTTAGTAGAAGGATACCGTAATGTGATAGTTTATCAATACGTACTTTTTTGTTTATTGTGACGAGGAATTTTAGGCAAAATGTCTTTTCTCAGCCAGTTTTTATTCTAGAGTCTCATAAATACTCGTAATATAATTGATTTGATATTGAAAATATAATTTGGAAGAATTTATTAGAGAGGGAATAATAATGCACATAGGGCCTAAAGGTATGACGGTATCCTAAGAAAAGACTATGAATCAACTATGGAAAATGGTGTGTAACATTCTTACCTCTCTTATTTATATGTTATAGTTTAATGATTTGTGATTTAATGTTTATATTCAGCTTTTTAAAGTTTCTGTATAATTTGTATTCTCACTTTTGTACATTTGCATTTCGCATCCCAGAGAATTACGTACCAAACTCGTCTATATTTTTCTCAAAATGATAGTGAAACTAATCATCCATTTCGCGGCCCATGGAATGGCAACAAACTGACTTGTGATGGCGCTTTACAGCAATTAAAAAGATATGACAGGTTTGGAGCAGTGACAACTCGCTTGTCGCGGAAGTTGTCGCTCATCTTGGCAAAGACGGCTTCGTGAAACACTTAGCTGACAAGTTGCGTGACAGTGGCGAGATGTCGTTGATCTTGTAGTTATGACGGTTTCGAGAAACGGCCCCCTGTAGGCCTATCCTTTTACGAATTAATGAAAAAGTAGCCCCAGAAAAAAAGCCCCCGAAATGGAAAAAAGAGCCCCCAAAAGTTGAAAAAGTAGCCCCCGAAAATTTGAAATGGGGCCCCCGAAATGACAAACTTAATTTTTGCCTGGTAAGTAAGTAAACAGCTTCTTTTTTTTTTTTTATATATAATAATAATGTTTTAATACACAGCCAGGAATGTGTGCCCCTATCCCCCAAATCAAAAGATATAAATTTGAAGACGTGTGACTTGACTTTGTAGATCGTACTCATTCTTCAATTTAGCAATAAAAAGGGCGTCGGAGCTTCCTTCCTTCTCTATGCTTTGCTGGAGTGGGGCTCAGCTAGATCGTCTGAGTTTACAAACACAAAAGTCAACATCTGGGACACTGCACTAGGACTGCGACTTAACATTCGCGTCAAGTTACTTACCACTTCATTTTGGTTAGCGTTGCATCCTTTCTCTAGGTTGATGTGTTCTCCGCAGAATTTCTTTCCTTTACCTGGAAGAAGTCTGCAAAGCCTCTTTCTCTTCTTAACAAAGAAATTACACTGACGTTCTTCTTCCATTTCTTCGTCGAGTTTCACGAAAGTTGTATTGTATATTCACGTTGAGGGCGACATCGAAACGAGATCATAGCTAGCAAGAGTTAAACGAAAAAATGAAAAAACTTTAAAAAAAAAAAAACACATCAACAACTGTATAGCAATAAATGGTATTAAACAAGTAACAGTGAAAAAACTGTTCTCCTCCTGCTAAAAATTCATTAAATTCACACTGGCGTATCATATTATATTGAAAAAATGGGGGGGGGGAGGGGTAGGGGGTAATGAAATCCCATCAGAGGAAGAAACAGAATGAATTTGTTTAGCCTCTAGGGTGGGGCGTACACATGTTGCTCCACGTTATGCTAGCCTCATAGAGATAGATCTATATACTGTCTTATTAAGTATATATCTCTATGGCTAGCCTATACCACTATAGTATTAGGACCTACGCTGTTATTATGGTCACGTGAGCTTGTTGTCATTGTAATAGGCAAATTAACATAAGAATTCAACTGAACAGGTAATGGCCATAAAATACTATTGCGAAAAAAGAGAACAATTGTTGAAGCTTCAACAGGGTCAGCCTGCCGAGTGGCGTATCCAGACTTGGCATCAGGAGGCGGGCAAACCACCACTTACTGACGTTCTCGTGAAACGATGCCCAGGGCCCCGTCTTACAAAGAGTTGATATCAATCGTAACTTATTTGCGATTGATATCAATCATAACTATGTACATAAGAGATTGGAGGACTTACGATTGATTTGGATCAATCGTAACTCTTTGTAAGACGGGGCCCAGGTCATTATCGTGTATTTGTTGACTTCAATGCTAACTACATGTGCGTTCGGCTAGGAAGACTATAAATACAAGATGTAGCCGCAATTATTTGTCTTGGTCTGAAGTCTGTCAGGAGCGTTAGGGCCAATCGACCACCCCCCCCCCCCCCCGTCCCTCCTTCGAAGACGTAAGTGATATGCCTCCAGTTAAAAGGAATGTTTCTTTCTCTCTCCCTCTGTCTTTCTCTCTCTATCCCCTTCTCCATCCCTCTAAATATGTACTTCACGCACTTTCACTCCTCACTTCTTTCTAGTTGTTTTTATCTCTTTATAGTACAGGCAGTTGTACAGCTGTCACTTTTAGCTCTCTATTTACCATCTTTTCCTGTTATATGTAATTTATTCCCATCCCCAACATCATTATTTTTCTGTAGGAAAAGTTAAGTTTTTTAAAGGATTTCCACGCCTTCAAATCAAGCTTAGCTTATTGTGTGGCAATCCTTCTTCATGATTATCTGATGTAAGTATTGCAATGTAAGTGTTAAACGTTGAAGATGTATTCATTATAGAATTTGTTTATCATCATGATTTATGTTGTATTTAGTTTATAATTTTGGAGAGAGAAACACATGAAGAAAAAAGGTTAATCAATCAAAATCAAATAAAATAAATTGTTATGATACATCGAACAAATGATAATGTTAACATTCCCTTTTACGTCGGTAACGTCTTTTTTTGGGGGGGGGGGGGCCTGGAAAAAATTAGGCCGCCGCGCACTATACAATCCTCATGCAATCTGACAGTATAGATATGGAAATCTAAACAACATTATCTTCTTGGTTTTGGTTTTAAATAATGATAAGAATACTGACAACTAGAATACATTGCAAATTTAACTCTCCTATAATATGTGAGAACAAAAGCCAAATTGGCTGAATTTAATCGTAGACAATCGCACTATATTACTAGCTTGGCCGATTTAGATTTTCATCCTCCTAGTGAGCATGACATTTCTTGAAATTTCTATTTTATTAGTCATTTGATAATTCAGAGCCTCCGTCACTAAGATTTTACATGTTTGAATGTTCATATCTAAAAATGCCAATTGCGAATTCTTCCAACAATAGGATCGGAGTCAAATCGCATGTGTGCGGTGTAAGACCGAGGCTGACGAAATGACCAACACATATTACGAGAAATCAGTCTTGACTGATATGGGAGGGGCCTATATAGACTTTGTGTGGAGCCCCACAGAATACCCCCCCCCCCTATTTTTTTGTATATCTTTGACTATGTATGTATGACACAAGTATATTTCTAGCCCCCATATAGTCCCTCCTCTTAGTTAATTAGGTACCCCCTCCTGCGAGAGTGGCCTCACCCACAACTAACCTAAACACACCAGCTGAGACATACCAGTGGCGTAGACAGGTTCGTACACCTGGGGGGATGACTCAGATACCAGGAGTGGCTTCTCACTTTGTTTTTGCCACGCATCTCAGTCAACACCTTTCTTATTTTGTCTTCCTTTAATAGGTAAGAAAGAATCTCTTATTATTCAATTGTGTTATATTATTGTTCTTCATAATATGTGTATTTCTAAACTATTAGCTTCACTATTCACATATCTTGTATTACTGTGTAAAAAGAGATATTAATGATCTTTGCCAATGACTTGTTGGATTATATGACATGTGGACTATGAGAGGAAATATAAGAAATGCCATGTGGGAAGAGATGCCATGTGGGGAGAGATAATGTCATTGATGAACATAGTAATCACTTGTAGAAATGATAGGAAAGTATTATCGTGTGTGTGAGATTGATGAGTATATGTTGTTTGATTTAGACAACATTTTAAGTAAGTTTTGAGAAGAGAATATACTTTATTACTGTCAGTATATTTGTCTTTTGCTCGATATTCATGTGTATATATATATTCTTAGCCTAGGACATGTGCCATTTACTATGCATTATGCCAAAGCACATTGTTATATATTCTAGTTCGAGTTAGATACAGTTTGAATAGCGAAATGAGTTGTTCAAGTCCAGATTATCTTTAACTTACAGTATTATGGTATGAGTGAGTGTGGACGCACCATGTGTATAATATTAGTGTGTTATTAGGTTATGGCAGTGCGTTCAATGTGAACACAACTTCTTATCAGAGTTCTTAATCCCCTCTCTCACCAAGCTTGACCATCCACTGCAATGCATTACACGCACACAGTGTAGATAGAGTATATGCTATACCCAAATGCTATGTTGAGAAGTGTTAGAGATAAAATGTGTTTGTTTTTGACCCATGCTGGAAATGGTATCTTAAGCGGGAATGAAAGTTTGGTAGAGTCAGCAAAATGAGAAGACAGAGGATTTCTGTTTGGATATGCACTTGTTGAGAAACACATGGTCAAATTGTCTAAAAGTTAGATAGTGATGGATGGGTTGATGAAATATTGTAGTTGAAGACTTGCATAATCACTGTCTGGAATTCATTGTATTATATTGTTAGGAATGATAATTCAGGTTAAATGTTATTGGGAATTACTCTCTCTCTCTCTCTCTCTCTCTCTCGATATATATATATATATATATATCTCCCTCTCTCTCTCCCCCCCCTCTCTCTTTATACTCTCTCCCTCTCTTTCTCTTTCTCTCTCTCTCTCTCTCTCTCTGTATTGTTTACCCCTCCCCTTTCACTCTCACTTTGCTTTGTATATAACCATGAAATGAATATACATGTATTTAGTAAAACTATTGGTTGTTGTTTAGAATTAGAATATGAACTGTATGTGAAGATGAGATTAATACAGTAAGAGGAATTCGTAATATTGGTTGTAAGTTTGTTAGAGCTATTAGTACAGACTGCAGACTAAGACTATTTGCCAGTGCTGTGAATATTGTAAGGAGTTATAAGTTGTTGAAGATGTATCTTTTCAAGCTCAGCAATCTCGCTGAAAAAGATAGTATTAGATCAAAGTGATGCAGAGTTAGGAAGAGTTATGAGTTTATTCAGTATTAATGTAAATGCCTGAGACAAGAAAGTAACTTGTGAATTTAGGGATTAGTGAAGGCTGAGAGTAGAATTACATTCTAAGGGTCTATGTGCACAAGGGATCCTCAGTCTTGGAGCGTAAAGAGTAGAAAGCTTATTAGGCAATAGTATAGGGATGATTATGCCAACATTCTTGTATTAAGTCTATATATGTGATTTCTTGAAAGAGACGCTAAGTGAAGAGTTATATGATTAGAAGCTAAAGTAGATTGACTGATACCGCAATGTTATAGACATTTGATAAGGGTTAAGTTATTTATTAGTAGCCGAGTTATGATTATGAGATCGATGAAGAGTTGCGCTTTTAAATGAAGCATGGAAGTAAGGATAGTTTCGTTTAGAGATAGTAAAGTAATGAAACTAACCAGATGATGTTCTTAGTGATATAGTAAGAGAACACTGAGAGCTAATGAATTCAATGTATGCGAACAGGTAGATTTATTTGTGTTTAATACTTGAAGAGTATTGTTATGCCATTTGATCTTATATATGTTATTGTAAGAAAAGACTGTTGTTGTAGAAGATTAAGTAATAAAGACTTTGTTTTGCCATGCATCCTAGTCAACACTTTTCTTATTTTGTCTTCCTTTAATAGGTATGCCCCCTCCCTCGGGGTGTGGGCGCTACAAATTTGGCGACCTTGCCAGGACGGCCATCGTCGAAGAGACATGAGGACGATGTGCTGTCCTATGACACGAACAGTTGGATCAGTCGAAGAAGCAGTGATGTAACAAAAAAAAAGGACCAGAAGTCAGAGAGCCGGAGAAGACCATCCCTGATTGGAAATGAGGTTGGCTCAGCATCAGAGAGAATGGGACAAGCTGCAGAGAGGAGAAAAAGCTACTACGAACGTGCAGTATGCAGCAGGGTGCTACAGCAAGGAGATATGGTTCTAGTACGAAGTCTGGCCCCTCCAGGTGGCCAAGGGAAGCTTCACCCTTACTGGGAGGAAATATATGGCGGAGCAGTGAGTGGAGTCAAGGATGTCAAGGGGTTCTCCAAGCCGCCACTCTCAACAGCCCAGCTACGGCCTGCACCGTTCCAGTACCGGTATGACCCACCATTCTACCTCCCCATCAAAGGCCATTACAGATGCAGACGCAGTAGCCCACCAGCAACCAACCCACTACTAACAGCAGATGACAGAAGACCAGCTGAAATTTTCCTAGCAAGCGAGTCCATCATTGAGGAATGCCTCAAACTGATTTTTTTTTAATTTTTACATTAGATGCATCGTTATATAGAATCATGTGTGCTAGCTGTTTAATAAACCAGAAATACGAGTAACGCGAAGTAGTAAGATGAAGCAAGTTGTAAATCGTTTCATGAATTGTGGTGTAATATAAGGAAACAAGCGATGACACTCGATAGTGATCAATTGATCTTTGTGATAAAGTCTTCGGAATGAGTCTCGAGCTTTCCAAGAAACCTTCACCGTTTGTCAGGCGCGCCCGTAGAATGGGTTAATGTTTCGCAAAGTTTATTTGTATGGAAGAAAAAGCCACTTAATTCTGATACGATATTATGATATGTAATTCTGAGGTTTCAAGTACCTATTAGGTTTCGCTATAACAAGTTGCAACAAGTGTATATGAACTCGATGTACTACATGTATTTCGCAGAGGAATTGGAGCTCGATGATCTGGGATTGTGAACGTAGCAAGGATATGGACTATAAATAATCATGAACTTTGGTGATAAGTCTCACCTCCCTGATCTGTCCTAAGTTCATAACGACATTGAACGAGAACTATATGAACATTAGATTGTTGTGCTATATTAATGAATTGTTGTAAATGTTTGAAAGTTGAAATGTCCAGGAGACATTTATTTTTGGAGGGGAAGGTGTGGAGCCCCACAGAATACCCCCCCCCCCCTATTTTTTTGTATATCTTTGACTATGTATGTATGACACAAGTATATTTCTAGCCCCCATATAGTCCCTCCTCTTAGTTAATTAGGTACCCCCTCCTGCGAGAGTGGCCTCACCCACAACTAACCTAAACACACCAGCTGAGATACCAGGAGTGGCTTCTCACTTTGTTTTTGCCACGCATCTCAGTCAACACCTTTCTTATTTTGTCTTCCTTTAATAGGTAAGAAAGAATCTCTTATTATTCAATTGTGTTATATTATTGTTCTTCATAATATGTGTATTTCTAAACTATTAGCTTCACTATTCACATATCTTGTATTACTGTGTAAAAAGAGATATTAATGATCTTTGCCAATGACTTGTTGGATTATAATGACATGTGGACTATGAGAGGAAATATAAGAAATGCCATGTGGGAAGAGATGCCATGTGGGGAGAGATAATGTCATTGATGAACATAGTAATCACTTGTAGAAATGATAGGAAAGTATTATCGTGTGTGTGAGATTGATGAGTATATGTTGTTTGATTTAGACAACATTTTAAGTAAGTTTTGAGAAGAGAATATACTTTATTACTGTCAGTATATTTGTCTTTTGCTCGATATTCATGTGTATATATATATTCTTAGCCTAGGACATGTGCCATTTACTATGCATTATGCCAAAGCACATTGTTATATATTCTAGTTCGAGTTAGATACAGTTTGAATAGCGAAATGAGTTGTTCAAGTCCAGATTATCTTTAACTTACAGTATTATGGTATGAGTGAGTGTGGACGCACCATGTGTATAATATTAGTGTGTTATTAGGTTATGGCAGTGCGTTCAATGTGAACACAACTTCTTATCAGAGTTCTTAATCCCCTCTCTCACCAAGCTTGACCATCCACTGCAATGCATTACACGCACACAGTGTAGATAGAGTATATATGCTATACCCAAATGCTATGTTGAGAAGTGTTAGAGATAAAATGTGTTTGTTTTTGACCCATGCTGGAAATGGTATCTTAAGCGGGAATGAAAGTTTGGTAGAGTCAGCAAAATGAGAAGACAGAGGATTTCTGTTTGGATATGCACTTGTTGAGAAACACATGGTCAAATTGTCTAAAAGTTAGATAGTGATGGATGGGTTGATGAAATATTGTAGTTGAAGACTTGCATAATCACTGTCTGGAATTCATTGTATTATATTGTTAGGAATGATAATTCAGGTTAAATGTTATTGGGAATTACTCTCTCTCTCTCTCTCTCTCTCTCTCGATATATATATATATATATATATCTCCCTCTCTCTCTCCCCCCCCTCTCTCTTTATACTCTCTCCCTCTCTTTCTCTTTCTCTCTCTCTCTCTCTCTCTCTGTATTGTTTACCCCTCCCCTTTCACTCTCACTTTGCTTTGTATATAACCATGAAATGAATATACATGTATTTAGTAAAACTATTGGTTGTTGTTTAGAATTAGAATATGAACTGTATGTGAAGATGAGATTAATACAGTAAGAGGAATTCGTAATATTGGTTGTAAGTTTGTTAGAGCTATTAGTACAGACTGCAGACTAAGACTATTTGCCAGTGCTGTGAATATTGTAAGGAGTTATAAGTTGTTGAAGATGTATCTTTTCAAGCTCAGCAATCTCGCTGAAAAAGATAGTATTAGATCAAAGTGATGCAGAGTTAGGAAGAGTTATGAGTTTATTCAGTATTAATGTAAATGCCTGAGACAAGAAAGTAACTTGTGAATTTAGGGATTAGTGAAGGCTGAGAGTAGAATTACATTCTAAGGGTCTATGTGCACAAGGGATCCTCAGTCTTGGAGCGTAAAGAGTAGAAAGCTTATTAGGCAATAGTATAGGGATGATTATGCCAACATTCTTGTATTAAGTCTATATATGTGATTTCTTGAAAGAGACGCTAAGTGAAGAGTTATATGATTAGAAGCTAAAGTAGATTGACTGATACCGCAATGTTATAGACATTTGATAAGGGTTAAGTTATTTATTAGTAGCCGAGTTATGATTATGAGATCGATGAAGAGTTGCGCTTTTAAATGAAGCATGGAAGTAAGGATAGTTTCGTTTAGAGATAGTAAAGTAATGAAACTAACCAGATGATGTTCTTAGTGATATAGTAAGAGAACACTGAGAGCTAATGAATTCAATGTATGCGAACAGGTAGATTTATTTGTGTTTAATACTTGAAGAGTATTGTTATGCCATTTGATCTTATATATGTTATTGTAAGAAAAGACTGTTGTTGTAGAAGATTAAGTAATAAAGACTTTGTTTTGCCATGCATCCTAGTCAACACTTTTCTTATTTTGTCTTCCTTTAATAGGTATGCCCCCTCCCTCGGGGTGTGGGCGCTACATTTGCATAGTGGAATAGTAACAGAGGGCGCAGGTCAAATGCCCCCCCCCCCCCTCCCCATCGATCGAGAGATGGACAATAACAAAATTCAAAAGAAATATAGACAAAGAGAGAAAACAAAAGGGTGTAGGTTAAAAGACAAGAAAAGAAGAGATTTCTTTTTTTTTTACATCCAAAGTTTTGTTCATTAAAAAAAAAAAATTAGGGAGGGGGGACCGGGGGATTTTAATGTCTTTTCCTGGAGGGTCTGACACCTCTATCCTGATGATTTTTTTTTCTTCGGTTTTTATACATTTTGTTAGTATTCTAACCAGTATACACCTGGGCCCCGTCTTACAAAGAGTTTATATCAATCGTAACTTATTTGCGATTAATATCAATCGTACCTATGTACATAAGAGATAGGAGACTGCAAACTTGCGATTGATTGGAGGACTTACGATTGATTTGGATCGATCGTAACTCTTTGTAAGACGGGGCCCAGTAATATATATCACTTCCTTGTGACAAAATTTGGTCGATCCACTAGACTTTGAGGGGGAAAAATGACTTTAAATTTTACAGGCCGTCTGACATCATATCCCGACGGAAATTTTGTCATTTTTTCGGTTTCGTAATAAACTAGTCAAAATCATACTACTTCGTAGGTCTAGACGGGGTGAAATCGACCCGACTGTGGGGGGTATTTATGGGGGGGGGGGGGGGGATTGGATGGGGGCTTAACCCGACAGCTACGGTCAAGCTGATGATTTGGATCTTATGGGTAAAATGGGTTGAATAATTAGGGATAGGCGCCCAGACTATCCCCTTCCCGTTGAAAAAAGTAACTAGCCATTGTTTATTCTGTATGCAGACATTACCCCTCCCCTTTTGTTTTCAAAACTATGGATACGCTACTGTAAATTGACAGATATGGATTTCCAGAACATCAACCAAGAAAGGAAACAATTCACTTGTAGTCGTTGATCAGCGGTTGTCTGTATATATTTGATTGGAAAAATAAAACAATTTAAAAATATACCATACAGTAATATAATATTACAAAAAGTTCACAAAATACAACATAATGCATCGACACTAAACTGGACTGTACCGGTGTCGGAGTCATGTTAGAACGTGTTTGAAAGCAGTATACACCCCTACAATATAATTGACGAGTCCTTGATATATATTGCCATGATCCAATGAGGCCACGCGTACCTCATGTTTATTCATAGCTTCCAATCCTAACCGCACTGTGATTCGATAATTTTCCACTGACTCATATTTCTTCCACTGCGCTACGGGGAAATCCCCCTTCAGGAACACGTCATGAATTCCACCGAACGTAAATTCCACGTCGATCGCCTGTTAAACGTTGTGAGCTCTCGTAACTTCAGTTAGACATCAAGCTTCAACAACGTCAGACGTGTTTCTAGTGTGTGCCCTGTAAGCTGTATTTGTGCAGATTTGAGCTTACATATTTTGGAATAATTATCAAATCACACAACACAATGACTCTGGGAGAGACAGTGATGCCAGTGCAATATCACAATACAATTGGTGATTATATCGGGTGAGTTTAAAAAAACTATTCATTTCCAGTATATTTCACGAACGTATGTGTGTGTGTATGTGTTTTTAACCGGTAGCCAACTCACCCGGCCCGGTTTGATGCAACACGGTGCTAGGGAGACCCTTTATTTCGAGGTATTGCATCACTCGTCGAAATTGTGTTGCACTTGGGAACTTTAGTCGACGTGGTTTTATATTAAAATGATGACCCATACATACCATCCAGGTAAGGGGAAAACTCAGTCTCACTGATTTTACTGTTATATTATAGTGCTGCTCAAATAGTCATGTAATCACAAAATTATAGGTTTATATTTATAACAGTAATAGGCCTCGATCGTTATGTATCATTGTGTTTTCAGTCATTATGTGCCTATATTCATTCATGTTTTAATGGTTAGTTAACAACTTTACTTTTGTGTGTAGGGTAATCTAAAGTTAAGCCCTATATCTATATTATATTTACAGCTCTGGTAGCCAGTATGATTCCTTTACAGTGCAGTTATAATTTTGCATTATCGTTCATACCTATTTTTCACCATATCTCATCATATACTCATGTTCAAACAAGATCTAGTCCGATTTGTAATTTTATTTTAACATGTGAAAGATGTTCTTTTTTTAATGGACACTGGTGTTCAATTTTCCATCTCTTTGATTCGATCAGCTATCAGGGAGGTGAGACCATTCTCCCTGATTCGCTATAGTATATGCCAATAAATGTATGACGTGCATAGCAACCGTGATCATGATCATTCAGTTTAATACTTTATAGATCTAGATGATCTCATTTTGAGCAAAGATGTGAGAAAATAATCATGGGCTCGTTATCATTTTGATAGGATAATAGATTTAAAAGTTCAATACGTACGCATTTTAGTTTCGGTTTTATCGGAAGTTGTCTAGTTTGTGACTGTCCGGAAGTTTAAAGTGTGAAGTCCACATGCATGAGTCGCGGCACTTTACACGCCACGGCCACGCGACTCACCTTTAGAAGCTAACCGCAATCCGCATAGTTGGCATGCCCAAACTTGCATACCTGAATCATTTTTGGTTTCGTTTTCCTCAATGAATAATCGCATGCACACTGAATGCATATATAAATATAATGTGATAGCACTACAATTGCGTATGTTCTCGCTTGCTATTAACCACACTGCGAATTTCTGAATTCAGTACATTATTTTTCTCTAGCGAGTCTAGGTAATCCCTATAGTTTCACCAATATGACATATAGAAAAATAATGATTTAGGGGGGGGGGGGGGGCTCTTGTCGGCTCCACTCTAGGTTTATATGCTTGTTGTGTATTTAGATTAATTGTATCAATATTTGTTCACATTTGGTGATATCAGTTTGGATAATAATGTTGCATTATTAAAAATGCTCTTATACGTCTTGTATTTTAAAAAGACTAATAAAAAGTGTTAGGTCCTATTACCAATTATTTTTGATTTATTATTAGGTGTATATAAAATAACACGACCGAGTGTCAACTAAAGCAATGTGATGTAGTTTTCCAGTCGAATCAATACATGTATGCCTATATTTGGCAGGGCAGAGTAATTTTCCAGGAGCCTACAAGAATACAATGATTTTTGTTCCAGGGCTAGGTTGTACCCAATGTGTGATCACCTCTGTACAACACAAAGGATATCCAAAATAGTACTCTGTATCAGCTCGTACCACTTTTACGTCACTGACGTCAATGAACCATAAACGACCCTCATCAATTCTATAAAATGCTACCAACCTTGTTGATGTACCCGGTTATTTTCTCCGTTTGGGGGACAGTAAATCCTATTCATTATTTTATGAAGGAAATACCACTTCACCACTTGACTACCTGATGCGGAATTCAGGAAACTAGTCATGTCTGCTTTTTTGTAGGAAGATCCACCTCAAAGTCAAACCACGTCCTATATTCGGCCTATATTAGTTAGTATTCCATTAGAATGATTCTTTAGCAAAATCATTTTGAAAATGAAAATAAAATGTAAGAGGAACACTACTATTCTCCGGATGAAAGAAGTTCCGCCCCATGGAGACAGTATGAAGAATGTAAATCTCCTAGACGATAGCTACTTTTTGTAGGCATAACATTTTTTCTTTTCGTTTTCTGTTTTTCACTTTTCTGTGACATAATTATACGTGTTTCTATTTTCCTTATTTTCGAAACCCCTTGGAGGTAAAGACAGAACTGTAGCTTTATGTAGATGTATACCTCGCATTGTTTTGCAGTTTCACTGCATGCCATTGATTTCAGTATGAACTATTATATAGAATGGCGATTAAATTAAAGTCATTGATATTACATCATTATTATAAGGAATGTCATATTTTTGCCTGATTCATTCAATTTTAACTAATAGTATTACTATATTATCTTTCTGTTCAGAGATGATGCCGAGATGGAAGCTGGTTATGCTTTGAGGAATGTCTTAGTAAGAGCTAAGATGGAGAACAGACTAACTTGTGGAGTTTATCAAGCAGCAAGGAAACTAGAAGTGTAAGTATTCATTTTAGTGCATTCTTGGTGATGTAATTTGAAATGGATTAACAAAAAAAAAAGATATTATATATCCTTAATGATGTCATATCAAGAAATCTTAACATGTAATCTGTGATGAAAAATGTAATGTCATCAAAGATATAGTCCGTTTTATCAATCTGTAAGAAGGATAACTAAATTATTTAAAAAACTAAATTATTTACTTTCCTTTGAAAATCATGACTTATAGATAAAGTTGATAGAGCATATATTATGCAAATTGCAAACAATTGTGTTATTATTATATCAAATTCTTAAAGAATGGTAATTTGAATAGTAGTTCGGATGACATTGTTTGAATGAAGTTATTGATTTATCCTATGTATCATTGTATTTTCATTTGAATCTTGCAGGGAGCCAGAAAGAGTAATGCTGTGCATTCATGCTGATCTTGGTATCGTGGATGTGGCCCATCAACTCCACTTTGCTCTTCTAGAAGCATTCTGCAGTGAAAACCAGATTAGATTACTCAAGGTAAGCCCGATTTCATTAAGTATCCCACTCCTGCCACTGATTTTAAATTATAATTATGATTATGATTATCATTATTATTTGTTTATTTATTCATTTATTTGTTTATTTATTTATTTATATTTTTTGTTGGGGGGGGGGGGCAAGTCCAAGCTATTTTGTCCCAAACGTTACTGCCCATATAACACTTCAATACATTGTAAACTATGACTGTATCAAGCTCATAGCCCTACTGGAGCTTGACATCTGACAAAACATCAAATACAAAGATATTTTAAGTAAATTCAATTCAACAATTCCATACTTCTGTTCAATAACATATGAGGCATACATTGAACTATCCCTGCTGTTGGTGGACATTGTACTTAGGCCTCCACGATAGAGCGGATAATAATCAGATAATAATTATCTCTATTCATAACGAACCGTGCACTTTCCAGTTAAAACGGAATCATGGATGGGTGTTGATTAAAGGGTATCGAGGGTACAGTGACAATACAGAAAGGTATGGCTAGATCAGTTACACTTGAACTGTCTAATCCTAGAAAGAAAAATAGATTCTCCAGTTATTCTCCAGTCTCCACAATCATCAACAGTTTAGATTACAGTGTTATAGGAAGAGTGTAATTTCCTCTAGTAATAGCTGGAATTAGAAGTACAGATGATAGAAGTACCGATGACCTTTAAACATGTTGATTTCTTCATAAAGGAGAGAGAAAGAGAGGGAGGAAGAGGGGGAGAAAATGAAAGAGAGAAAGGGAGGGGGGGGGGGGTAAATAATTAGCGATTATAATTACCCCCATTTTTTATATTGTTTTAAGGTACATCAATAATATTATAACAGTAGGTAACATACAGTTATCACGAAAGGCTGTTTGGATGCCTGTGTTAATTGAAGTACCGGTAATGATTTGCAGACGATCTTGACATTTTAACGATTCTGGGAATTTAAGCTAACGGTAATATATCATGCTACATTAATGTCAGTGGCATATGATAGAGCAAGAGCGTGGTAACTCCCTGTGTTTTCAAAATGAACCGCTGGGAAATTTCTGTGTTATGATTCACTCAGCGAGATCTCTCTGATTCACTGGCAGTGGATTCCCGATGGGTTTGTCATGATTACGAAATGGCTGTCTTGATTTGATGATTTGGCCATGCGAAAGGGAAAATATTGACTCCGTCATAAGGGCCTACCAAGTCTGATCTAGCAGTAAAATAAAATCATACAAGACCAGGAAAAGAGAGAGAGAGAGAGAGAGAGAGAGAGCCAAGGGCGCATTGTCGTTTTTTCGGTATATTCAGAGAAATTCAATGGAACGCGGTACAAGCTTGTACAGGGTTTCTATTGTTCAATTAAATTGTGTGATTTCCTTATTAAGAAGATTTCTTCCTCGTTAAAAGGTTCTTTAGTGAATTATAAACAATGTTCTGTCTAATTCTTTCAGTGAAACATAATGTACACTATAATAGCAGTCAGTGGTGTGAGATGTCTTGATCTGAATCGATTGTCTGGAGTAATACTTTATTTAGTCGCTACTGTCTCAGGAATGCAGAAGGATTAAATAGGCCAATTTGCTCTTTCACTTCCTTTAGGTTTATGCCCTTGTTGTGCTTTAATTATTTGTCCCAAGTTTCTTTTCCATTCAAGTTGATTTTAAACTGCGTATATCCCTTGTATGCAGTTTCAGGCGGTTACTTCCAGATTTCTATCAACGGAAGAATGTCTTTGTTCATTATCTGTCGCATACCTGTATTGTTTGCTGATATTTCGACTCCGCTCACCGGGGCGTTCTGAATTGTTACACTGAAATGCAGTTTCTTTGTACAACCAAAGACCTTTGTACTTTAAAATAATGACACCCAGTCTTTGTGCCAGAACTGTTTGGGATGTGAAATATGGATAAGGTTTCTTTTGATCTTCTTTGCTTTGCTCGAGGTTTCTGACCGGGCCGAGTGAGTGTCCTCGGAAGTCATTAGTATTAAAGCAATGGCATATATTCCAAGAAGGCATTGTATATTATAAGCCGCATACAAAGAAGATAAAGACTCTCTCTAATTTGTACACACGGAATCAGCATTCAGCAACTCATGATCTGACCTACAGCATGACCTGTCATCTGAGTTCCAGGCAATCGGGTTTATCGAACTGAAATTGGAAAGAGAAAGTTCTTTGTTCTGATTTTAGGAGGTATCTCAATTTCCTCAAAATTTGCGATCTATAGGTCCCCATCTCACGTTTGTTTTTATGAGGAGAAGGTTGTCATTGTGAATTCAGAGGTCTTTGAGGCCTTTGACCTCTTCCAAGATGCTCAGGTGGTATTTACCCAGGAATGATACAAAGGGGCATCACCTCTAACGAGAGATCAGTCGGGCTACTTCCTGGAATCCAACAGGAATGGGTCACATGATAGAACTGGTGTAACCCGAATGCTATAGTACCCGCTCTATGCACACCTTGTAAACAATGAGCTGTACGGTGGTGGTATATATATATTATGCCTTTACCTCGGATAACAGGTTACCACAAAGTGCAGTCATGAAATTCGTTGCGAACATGACCTTTAGACGTGGCTCGTGCATTCAGACTCACATCATTTCAAAACTAAACCAGTTTCCAGTTCAATTCAAAGCGTTATCTGTGTTTAGAACTGCGATTGTCATGACCAAGAAACAATGACAATGTTAATCTCGTGCACAGCAGTCATAAACATATAACAATAAATGATTATAAATAACATTTAAGTTTATATAGTATCTGTGTATCAGGCATCGTTAGAGTCTCGATATAAAGACTAGTTAGTTGCATAGGTGCGGCGTGGATAATAATATTGAAACGCCTAGATATTTTCCCAGAATTTCGTCGTTTGTCTAAAGCATTTCCCTTGAAGTTTATATAGAGTGCTTCAGACAAACAACCCACGAGATCTGTTCATGTTCGGGTTCCCTCTAATTGAATTTCAATGATAAAACACATGGGTTATCACCGCGGGCTCAAATCAAATAGAACACATCCGGATAGATCGAGAAAAGGAAAGATTAGACAAACCACTTAGACAATACCACAACATAGGCTACATTGTATCATGGGCGCGTAAAATGTCTCTACATAGTTTGTACAACTACACAAGATATTTTTCGAAATCTGAACCAAAAAAAAAATTTACATTAAATTTTCTTTCTCCCAATGCGATGGAGCACTCAATCAACAGTGTGTGACAAGGAAATTGAAGGGTAGCACAATAATAGGGCAGGCAGGCGTATAGGGTCGGATTTGGGGACAGTCCCATATTTATTTTTTCCACCAAATGTTTTCTGGTATATGACCTTCTTTGTCGATGTACGTGTCCGGAATAACAATGCTTCCTCATCATGTGATCATGTCCCTGGGTTTTAAATTACATAGATTGATTGAGTAGTTGGTTGTATTGATGTAGACGATGATTGTAGTATGATTGATATGTTGTTTCCAGATACAGGCCTACCGGCATTGTGTTATCAACTTACAATCGGGGAAATTCGGGGTCTATCAAACGTCCGCTATATACCACTTTCTTTTCTTTTTGCGTTAGCACGTAGCCCAGATTTTCAGAGAATTGAGCAGTTTTCTAGGTATACCAACCTTCTGCAAAAACACTACCACCATTTTGATCTTCCTGTACAGACCACTGTTTCATGCATTCCTATTGGCGAATCCATGTATCTTTTTTTTTACTCGGGATGGGGGAAATAATGTGCAATAATTTGGAGGTGTAAAAGTATGTTCTTCTTTTTATATCTCCTTGCGGCCATTTTATTATGTGCGAGATGGGGAGGTGGTGGGGAGGGGTTCCCGACTAACCAGTTTGAGATTATAATTTTATGAGCAAAATATTATTGAGAAAACCAAATTATCTCTAGGGGCACCCCGCCCGTCTTGATCTGCCATTGATTAATAATTCCTCCGTAATTAATAATTGAGTATAAATTATGAATGAGATGTTATCTCCAATGGTAAACAGCTAATTGAATGTTCATCTTATAACTCAAAATTAGCTGTTTTTTGGTCAAAATAATCAAAATTTTATTTCATCCAATTTTTATTTTCTCATGCAGGTTGGAGACACAACCCCTCTGGAAAAGATCTGTGAAGGAACGGTACCCCTCACCCCCACGTCACCCGACTCTCCTGCTGATTTCAGTGATCTATCAGAGCCCCTCCCTCGCAGTGAAAGAGCCCCAGACTTTTCATGTGTTCTTGTCGATGTAAGTCAAGTCCATTCATTTTCCCTTTCCATTGGCAATGATAAACATGAATAACAGCGAAAATGTACAGAAATTCAACAACAATAAAAAATACGGTACAAAATTTAAATAAGTTTACACAAATAACAACAACAATATTGAGGGGAGGAAAGGGGGTGGGGTGGAAAGGCAAAGGTTAAGTAAAGCAAAATTTAAGCACATTAAATCCTAGTAGTAAACCGCCTATATTTGTTTGATCGTTGATTCTAAAAATGTGCTTATAAAAGAAATTGAGAAGAAAAAAAAGTGAGAATTGGAACAATATTGGCCAACCCTGCACCTCAAGCTTCCAATTGGGACTGTAGTTTACATTGGAAACTATTATAGCCCATTTACAAAACGTTATCGTCAAATCCCTTTCAAACCCTTCGTATTCTTCGAAATTTTGAATTAAACAGATTATTATGAATGTTACGCGGAAAAGACCATTTTACACAATAAAATATTTCCCAGTCGGCGATAAACAGACAGGATTGACACGTTATTCTCCGTCTAATAATTATCTGATTATTGATTCGGGCTACAGGAAACGCTATCACCGCAATTAAGTACAAGGGAACCCTTAGATTAATACATAAATTACTCAAAGGGGAGACCTAGAAAAACAAAGAAATGGTTTCCAATAACAGGAAATACAAAGTGATAAACGTCTCACATGTCTTCGAAAAACAAGGAGCAAACAATACATGTATGTGGTACCGAGGTCGGAAAGAAGTTATGAACGCTGTTAGTTTAACAATGAAAGCGTAGTCGACGAATTGTTTTCTGTGTAGTCCTATTAATTGTTGATTGATTCGGTATTGGCCTCCATGATCATGATTGAATAAACGGTTTGAATGATATTTTACAAGGAAGTGTAATTGCCACACTAAGGGGGAAGCCAGTGTTATTGACCACTTCCCGGCAATATAGTTTTACTGACATGAGCGATTCATGTTTGTAATTCTGACAGGCAAAAGGAAAGTAACAAATCTGCTTTGTGGATTGGGGAGCTGCCAAACTTATCGAGGGACAAAGGGGTTGAACTGCAAAGTCATGATTTGGGGTCGTACTTTTTGAAATTACACTGCTGTATCGGTCGACGTGAATCGAGTGGGTTGGTCGGATTGCAGGTTCATGTGGCGTAAGGTGGCAGAAAATGATCATTGTGAAATGTTCATGATTCATTATTATCCATTTTTGTTACATTTCGTTAAATAGTACTGCTAATCAATGAAGAAGTTTCAATGATGCTTATTGTACCCCTCTTTGTTTCTCATTTCTATTTCGCTATCAACAGTTCCCCGAGAAGATGGACACGGCTTGCACATCACTCTTTACACTCTATGACCATCTTGCAGAGGACATGACCTTTCCACAGATCACCTTGGCAACCTGATTGGATGTCAGCACAGGTCAAAGGTGACCGACCTTGACGGAAGGTCATCGATCATCGCTGTTACTATAGCTGCAGTCTTGACCGAGTGTTAAGAACAGATGGCAGGGATACTTCACAGGTGGACAATGTCAAAGAATGTTATATTGTTTCATGGCAAGAAAGACTTGTGATTTCTGATGAAGGATGACTATGATGTCATAATAAAGGACTGCAATGACGTCATAAAGGACTGCAATGATGTCATAAAGGATGACATTGATGTCGTGATAAGGATGATGCTGTATCACTGCCTGCCAAAGCTTTGATTCAAAGAAGAGCGATTATGTATTCTTCTGAATGATGCATACTTTAAAGGGTGAAAGGTCAACATAAAGAATTGGGTTGCTGTTTTGTATATAAGGCATGCATGTATCTCAATATTATGTATTGGAAAATGATCATATTGAAAGTAAACAAAGAAAGAAATTAAATATTTATAACAAATAAAACAAAAAACAAAACAAAACAAAATAACTAAAAAACATCTGAAAAGAAAATGTTGTATATACACAAGTATTTCATCGTTGGTTATATTGTGGGAATCGTAAAGATGATTTGATGAACATAATACTGGGAAAGTTGTGACATTAAGTATAGAGAAAGGTATGCTGAGGTTTTGAAGTAAATCAAACTTTGAAGAGATGCATTTTTAATTAGTTGGTGTCAGTGGGCCTAGGGCTAATGCTCAAATTGATGAATCAGACACTGGCAACGAGTGGGTTGGCGTGATGACAGACCAAAAAGAAGCATAGATTTGCTGTCTGTTTTGGATTAAAAGCTAATATTATTGCCTATTTCGTGTAAGACACATAGAATGTACATATACAATTCATATTTATTTCAAATACGTTTATGTACATGTTGTATTAGTATCGCATGTACCACTATCACTAAGTATGTGTGTTTATTAAACACGGCAGGTCTATCAGTATTATGGTCATAAGGTGGGGGAGGAGTGAGGGAGTATGCAAGATCTTTAAGGATTAAATGTTAATCTATTTCAAAAGTAGAGTTTGTACATGTTTCATAATTATATCAAATTTTAATAGCCATGCTTAACGATGGAAATAGTAATATAAATTGATATGAATGATTCTTCAATGTAGCCTAGTGGTAAATGATTCAGCTTTATTTCTTTGGTTATCCCAAGACATGCTGAATTAGCTGTTCTGTATTTTCTGGCGTGTAATACAATATGTATTTAAGTATTTATTGCGGCAATTAGATTTTATTAAAGTAAGGAACTAAGTGAAAGGCTGAAGAAAAAACCTGCTTGATAATTGATTAGTTATTGCTGGTTGGATCAGGGGAGGGGGCACAAAATAGTGTGTGTTGATTTAATAACTGAGTTGCACTAATTGCTAGCTGTGCTTAAATATGCAAATATATTCAGTGCACACGGTAAAGAATGAACAAAGAAATTAATTGTATCAATTTGTGATTGTCCATGACTTTATTATACCAACTCATCGTCAACATATTTCTGTTTTAGTATAATTGTCAAGTAGCTTACAAGTATTGAAATTTGCCAGGGTATTTCGTTGCATGATATTGTTATCAGCTCTTAAATTATCCCATGTACAGAATAATTATCTAATAATATTGTAAATAAATATCATGAATTGCATGTTGTACATGTAAAAATCTTAAAAGATTATAAACGTTGTGGTTAATGCATTGATATAATAATGTATTGGAGTTTTATCCAAGTATTTATAGTATTCAACTAGTCGACGTTCGTTTGAATTATTATGTATGTTATATTTAAAGTAATAAAGCTTACGTGTGTGACTAAATAACTTATCTTACCAGACAATAACTATTTGTCAATATTGTACATATGAAATTCAATATATTGTACAGAAGTGCTGAAAGAAAATAAATCTAAATGAAACGTATATTCTGCAGTATTTATATTTCATGATTATAAGCTATGTATTCTAAGAAAGAGATGAAGTTTCCTCGATTTGCATGATGTGGATGATGCAGGAATTCATGTTTGAACGAAAGTTCAGTCCAAAACAGTTCAAGGAGAGAGTGAGAGACTTATTTATAAAGAATATTTGAAGAAAAAAATTGGAGAGGAAGAGAGTCGGTGAGATAGGGGGGGGGGAGAGATACGATTATGGAGAGACAGATAAAGTAAGAAGGGGGAGAAATAAACGCAGAGACGGGGGCAGATGAGAGGGATAAAATGAGAGAGGGGGAAAGAAAGGCGTAACAATAAAGGGAGAGAGGATTAGAGTGAGTGAGAGTGAAAGATATATATATATATATATATATATATATATATATATGTATATATAATATATATATATATATATATATATATATATATATATATATATATATATATATTAAGGGAGAGGAAAAAAGGAAAGGAGAGGGGAAAGGGCAGAAAGGGAGAGAGAAATAAGGGACCGAAAGAGGAAACGAAGTGGCAAAAGATCCAGAACGGAATTATGGAGAGGGCGAAGAGATAAAGTTAAATGTAACTGAAAAAATGTACAATTAAATGGGAATATTGCAAAAGAAGAAAGAGGATTTAATTGAGTAGAGGGAGAGAAAGAGAGAGAGAGAGAGAACAAGATTGATAAATATACACTCTAAAAACTATAATGTTAAATCACCTTTTAAAGGGGTCAAGAAGTGACTACTTTTTCAAAATCTAAAGGTATGGAATCCAGCGAATAATTTTTTTTTTGGTATTGTAGAAATATAAAAAAAAGATAGTTAGTGGGGGGGGGGGGGGGGGGGTAGTGTGAATACTGAATATTGGCGTGGCGCATACAAAAAATCCTTTGAACAAAACAGGAAGAAACGATGAAATATATAGGGAGTGAACAAGATGGTAAAGAAGGTTAGCGTTTTCTGCAAAAATGAATGTCATTATGTGTAAGGACAAGTGACGTATAATGAGAAGTCATTTCTTGTGGAAATTGAATTACAGATGATGAACAGTTTGGACTTGATCTAACAAGTTGTCTGACACCTGCAAAATTCTTCGCCCAAGTTGCCCAACTACCGGTAGCTTCATTGCAATTACATTAACATCCATCCTGTGCAATGTTGTAGTGCTTGCCGGAGTGATTGACAGTCGTGAGTTATTAGATCGAGAGTAACAGACTTTTCCTTTCACTTCCTCTATTCTTCCTTACGTTAGGTCTTTTGTGATTCCACATTCATCTGTCATTGTGTCAATGATAACCGAATATGGTAGAAGCGGAGCCCATTGTGACGTGTTATGACGTAGTCTCTTAGTTCCAGCCTATCACGGCCGGCCATGACAATAGAGAAAAGAAGGAAAGGGTTGTTTTCTTTCATATCACTTGTCGGGGGAATACAAGTCATGCAAACAATCATGTTGTAATGTCATCGGTGGTTTATTTACCTACTTGCGTATATCCCAGAATATGGCTGTAAAACCGACAAGGGTATCCAACAGAAATTTCGATAGAAAAGATTATTTGTGTTTTTGGTACCGTTTTGCAGGATCGATAAAAGGATAGTGTCGTTGAATATGTTGGAAAGACGGAATACAAAATCAACGTGACCATGCAAGGGCGAAATGTTTGACATAAACATGGGAATACAATAACAAATGGAGGGATATGGTCACAAAGGAAACATATAAACAAGAATTAGAGCTCTGTAAACATCTTAGCAAATGTCACAGTATATAGGCTTACGCTCTGTTCAGAAACATATCCTCAGATAAATAATGTTATGCACAATCACTGATCAGTAAGCAATTTGATTTATATGATACAAGCAAAGAAACAAACAAACATATTTCATTACCATCATGAACGTTACAAACTGAATTCGGTTATTACAATTTACTTATTTTTATGGTAACTACAGCTATAGGCCTATTTTGACGGAATATAGGAGGAACAAACTGTCATCCGGTTGGCGGCAGACTAGAAAATCTACTTGTTGACAAAGAGCCAACAGGCTTTTGAAGACAAGTCAGAGATCTTGAATCAGAACATCCGCCTTGTCATGGTTAATGAGAGGCGCGGTCAAACACGTATGATTTCAAAGCAACCGCAAGTCTTGTTTAGGAAGGATATAAAAGTTTAACCACCGAATTGAATCAGATGATGGGTTAATTGCTCTTTCTTGTACACCTGCACAATTGGGGCGTTTGACATGGGCGTTGGGAAACAAAGGTAACCTTGGTTATTGTAAAACGTAAGTGACACGTGGGTTTAGTGTTCTATATATAAGAACAAAGAACAAGTTTGTTCGGTTGTATGTTTATTTATTTTAGCACGGTGGCAGATAGAAAATAGGCCTAGGCCTACATTTTTTAAAATGAAAACTGAATAGAATATATGATAACCACGTATTTAAAAAAAATGATCGAAGCCGTAAATCCTTTATAATCTGATATAGCTTGGCACACGGGATACCAAAATTATTATGTTCATATTTATATTCAATTTCTCTTTAATCAATACCTAATAGGTTGTTACAAGAAAGCTGAAAAAATGGATACACTTATATGATTACATGATATCATGTTAACCAAATTTAATAATTTTGCAAATAGGAACAATTGGTTATCAAGGGGGAAGGGGTCGCCTCATGGGGCTCAGGGGTGTGGGTGCAGGGAGGTTGGAGTTTCCCCCCTCCCGCGCGAAGCCCGGAAGCTTTGAAAGAAGACAATTCGTTGTACCTTTCTCGACTTATAATCCTTGTCTGCCTACAGTCCGCCCCTCCTGCGCATAGCGCGGAAGCTTTGACGTATTAGTAGACAAAGAAGACGATTCGTTGTCCCTTTCTCGACCCTTAATCCTTATCTGAATTCAGTTTCTCCCCTCCCGTGCAAAGCGCAGAAACTTTGAAGTTTCATTAAATTATTGAAGAAAGAAGACGACTCGAAGTACCGTTCTCGACTCTTAATCCTTGTCTGTATTCAGTCCCCCTCACGCGCGAAGCGCGGAAGTTTTGACGTTTCATTAATTTATTAGAGAAAGAAGACGATTCGATGTACCGTTATCGACTCTTAATCTTTATCTGAATTCAGTTTCTCCCCTCCCGTGCAAAGCGCAGAAACTTTGAAGTTTCATTAAATTATTAGAGAAAGAAGACGACTCGAAGTACCGTTCTCGAGTCTTAATCCTTGTCTGAATTCAGTCCCCCCCCCCTCCTACTGCGCGAAGCGCTGAAGCTTTGACGTATTATTAGACAAAGAAGACGATTTGTTGTACCTTTCCCGACCCTTAATCCTTATCTGTATTCAGTCCCCCTCTTTCGAAGCGCGGAAGCTTTGACGTTTCATTAAATTATTAGAGAAAGAAGACCATTCGTTGTACCGTTCTCGACTCCTTTCCCTTTTTCTTCCTACGTCCTCTTACTTTTTTCTTCTCTTTCTCTCTCTTTTTTTTTTTTTGGCCGGCGGTTTTTTTTTTTTTTTTGGGGGGGGGGGGGGGGGCAACCGCCCCCACCGCCCCCCCCCCCCCCACCCCTGGCTACGCGCCTGTCTATAGATCATCAAGATTTGTATCTTGGGCGATCGTATTGTCGAGCCCTGTCAAGGAAAACCAGCTCTATAATGGTTCCATCCGGAAAAAATACACTTTATGTTAATTATTTCATAAATATGCTTGTTAGAGGAACATTCTTTGGGGGCAATAGTATAGTATTAATGACTGCTTTGAGAGAAATAGTTGTTTTATTACGCTCAAGGGAAGGTTAGAATTGTGCTATTCCCCGAGGCTTGCCGAGGGGAATAGCCCAATTGTAACCTTCCCGAGAGCGTATGAAAACAACTATTTCTCGAATATTAAAGCAGTCATTAATACTTTTATATGCCGAAAAAAAATAGACTAAAAAATGAAAAATGAAAAATATTTATCATTTTGTCGAAGACGGGATTCGAACCCTTGCGTACAACAAGAGGTGTACCGAAAACCAACGCTTAGACCACTCGGCAATGGCCCGCCGTTAACATGCATTGCAGTTTTCTCCGATATATACATTAAAATGGATTGAAACCGGCTTCGCGTGTGATGAATGCTTCGCAAAAGCTCCATATACGGACTCTTCTTTTACTTTTGCAATGCATATTGGCACGAACTTAGATCAAGATCTATCGGCAGATGTTGTTTTTTTGTTTTTGGAAGTTTATTTTCGTCTTCATGTCAACAATGCAAGATAAAATTGTCGGTAAGATCGATCGAGATTCAATTGTATTGAAATTACCGACCAATCCTTCGCACACATACGGCATCCTCCATCGCTCAAACCATTTTTTAACATGTAAACCTATGGGGTAACCATGGAGGCTGACCAACTGTTTTTAATAACCATGGTTTTTAAAAATATTGAAATGTTTTATGCATGGTTACCGAGAATTTTACAGGAACAGTTGAAGTTTATGAATGCAATTCGACCAATCAGATGGCTGGATTTCTTAAGTGAGGTATATAATCTGTGATAGAATTTTGTCTTGGAGTATCGAGTAGTTGAGGCCGAGGGTTACTGGTACCTCACCAAGAGAGGGCGACATACAAAATCAGATCCGATCAGATCCCAAGACAAGTACACAATCCAATATTTTACACGTGTTGATAGCGCGTGTTGATTGCCCAACATGACCGACCCCGATATTGCTGCAGAAATGGAGGAAGACAGTTTCGATGACTTGGACTCCGATGAGGAGGTATGTAGCCAATCTTTTCTATATTGAGAACTGAATTAGGGAATACCACTCATCTTTCTTGTCTATAACCCTACGAATTTGAACGGACCAATTCACTTCTAACATCAGATCAGCGGTCCCACTAGCAAAGATTCGTGTCGTGCAAATGACAAAGAGCGCGGAGCCGGAGCTTCCCGGGCCAGGAGCTGAGGCTTACCCTCTCATCCCGCAGCTCCGCTGATTTGTAATTGATAAACAATTTGACATTTGGTCAGTCATTGGAATGGCGTAGTAGCTTCTCCACTTTATTTCTGGTATAATTTAAATTATTAAACGATTCAATCCCACACAAAGGGTCAACGTTGATTGTCTTTTTTCCAATTCCAGTTTCCAATTCTACCTTGTTGTAACCTTGCCTTCGCCATGACCATGCTGCTTCATCATGAACTTGATTTTAAGTGCATTTGCCAGGAGGATATAAATAAAATCAGAAGAGGGAAAAGAAGGAGAAGTATGGGAGGAGATGTAAAGTACAATTATAAAAATAAAGAAGAGGAAGGAGAATTAAAATAAGAATAAGAAATGAGAATGGAAAGAAGGAGGAGAGGGTAAAGAGAGGAAGATTTTTAACATGTGAATAATTAAGGGAAGGAGAAGAAGATGATGAGAGACAAACAAACATTAGAAACTCAGCTGTCCTGTCCCGTGACAAATATTTGATCTGAATAACGGGGGAATTTTGTATATTTATTGTATCCTTTGTCTCTTTCAGCTGCAAGCAGCATTCAGCCGAGGTGATTTAAAACCAGGACTTAACATCGAGGCCAGGGCAAAGAGAGTGTACATAAATGATGAGGTAAAGAGGCAATGTTTTGAATTGGTAACTAATTTTTTTGTTCCATTTTTTGTTTCATCACCAAATTTTCATTTTTAGGTCTGTGGAAGGTTTTGAGAAGAAAAAAAAAGACGTTTGTTAAATTTGCTACCATTATAAGGATTTCTCCAACTTGCTTTTAAATATTAGCGCACTATTACAATTTATTTCAGATATGATTCTGAGCTCTTCTTGAACCTTCCAGAGATCTTTTAGAATTTTGAGAATAAATCACCATCTACACATGTTCAACTATTTTTGGACCATTGTCACATTGAATTTTATTACTGTTATGAAGTAGCGAGACGTGAAAGGTCTTTTAGGGCTTACATATTTTAATTCCTCTCATTCTCAATATCCTCCTCCCCAACCCCCTTCCAATACAGCAAGGATTAAAGGATAGACTGACGGACTTCAAGAAAGACCTGGCATGGCTTGAGAGGTTAGACGTGACCTGTGGTCCTGCAAGGGTACCGGGGGAGACAGATCCTAAACCAGATGAGGAGAACAAGGATGAAGTACATGATGACTTCAAGAGGGAATTAAGAATGTAAGACTTGTGAAGAGGAAAACAGCCAGATGTTAAAAATCTTCTTACTATGTAAAGCACAAAAAAAAGTATAAAAAAGGCGCAGGGAACCAAGTTCTAGGCATAGGCATACTCCATTCAGTGTGGAAATTGGAACTGAAATGTACTTCTTTCACAGACATGATATGTTATTATAAATTGGTACTTTTTGTAACTATTAATTAATGGAACTTTTGTAACTAACATTGTGTAATTTGTGTTGATATATAACTTTTTGTATCCAGCTATGTGTAGTTGTTCTTTATTTATCATCGTTTTTGTACAGTACTTTTTGCTATTCTGTCTTGCTAAACCAATTTTCTAATCACATCTTAACTGGATGCAGAAATTTCAATAGATGTACACTTGTTGTGCACAGGCGCGTACGCAGGGGGGTGGTTTTAGGGTTAACCCCCCCCCCTCGAGTTTTTTTTATGTGTATGTTTTATGTATTTTTTTTTGGAAAACCCCCCCTTGAAAAAAATCCTGCGTACGCCACTGGTTGTGCATAACATTTAGAAGACATTTCTTTACTTGTGTAGTATTCATCTTTTCATCGATTGTAGTCTACTTTGGTTTCCTCTGACAGATATCGTCAAGCCCAAGCAGCCGTCCTTGATGCGCTCCCTAAGTTACAAGCTCTGAATATACCCACAAAGAGACCAGAAGACTTCTTTGCCGAGATGGCTAAATCAGATGATCATATGAGAAAGGTAGACTCTATGTCTCTAAACTACTTCTAATTCTATTTACTCATGTATGTATTTATTTTGTTGATTCTATAATTAGGGAGCACTGTGTATATTGGTAACAAATCTTTTACTCGTGCTTTTGATCCTTGATTGATGCAATACATCCTTGGATCAATCCTTGATCAGGGCTTACCTCCTTGGACAAAATGTTTTACTATTTGTTGTCCCTCTCGTTATTTCAATGGGATGTCGTTGAAGTTGTTCTTACGACAGTTTCGTAAAACGATGCCCTGGTAATGCTTGGTTTAGAATAATTGCAGAGTCCTTTGGAAGAGCAGTTTGAAAAGCGAGGAGGCAATAAACAATGTTATTATCATTTTTGTTTAATTTTTGCCAATTCTTTTTCTTTATTTTGTTTAACCTTCATAACTTGTTGTTGTTACATTGTTGCAGATCCGAGAGAAGCTGATTGCAAAGCAGCTGTCCATGGAAAGATCAGAGAAAGCAAAGAAACTTCGGGAACTCAGAAAGTTTGGCAAAAAGGTACTGAAAAATTGTATACTTCATCGCTTGATGCAGTGTTTCCTGACACTTGTGGAAATATTTACAAGACTCCTTTCCATTTGAAAACAAATGAAGATATGATATTATGGAATTAATCTGACCGATCAAAGCCTGATTTTTTTTTTTTTGATTTTAAATTTTTTATCATTTCTTTTTCTCCAGAAATGGATAGTCCTTCAAATCTATGTAAATCTAGTTTAAATTAATGACTTGCTTGAACGCCTCCCGCAAGCAATCGGCACCTCACTTTGCTCCGTTTTTAAAACTCTCACCATCACCCCTGGACTGATCATTCATCTCAAATATCATATCCTATCTGGATATATTTTTGTTGGTAATAATTTTACGGTCCAATCTAGCCCATATAATTTCTGTATAGATATGATGATTATATGTTTTTGTAACTCATCAAGTACATATAACATTATACAGTTTCCCTCCGGGCACATTCCATGTTCTAGTGAATTTGTTGGGATGAATGGTGGTTATGTTTGACATCGTGCCTAACTGTTGGAAATTTGTGATGATTCATGTATTTGTGTTCATTTAAAACAATTTTTTGTTACATTTAGGTTCAACAAGAGGTCTTGGTGAAAAGGCAGAAAGAAAAGAAGGACTTAGCAGAATCTGTAAAGAAATTCAAGAAAGGTAGGATCAAATTTTGTTATTACATTTCAGTACAGTAAAAGTGGCCTACAATGCTTTCGACTGCCAATTTCCATTTATGATTATAAAAGTATTGTCTTGTAAAATCTATTTTTTCTGCCTGTTTGGAGCCAGAAGGACCTTGAAGAGAAGGGTTAAAAAAATAATTTGTGAGAGTTATATTGTTATTATGCAAGTGTGGAAGAACATCAGATTAAAAAATATTCCCTGAAAAGCATGGCTCCATAATGCCTTAATATTCTAAATATGGCATGTAACATCATAAAAATCAGACGGATTTGTATGCCACATGTTCGTCTAGTACCATATACATCTTTGTATGTACAGTGCTTGTAACTTTACCAAGACTGGGCCAAATTTATCATTTTGATGATTCCAGAACCTTGCCGTACACACCAATACTGACATGTATATTAGCTAGATGATCAACCTTTTCTGATCGATTCCACACCGTTTCTCTCACAATGCAATCGCATGACTAGAACTCAACTTTAGCTTTAACTCTGTGTATATGATGTGTGTCCTTTCAGGCTCTATAACAGATTATTTATAGTCGTGTCCATTGATGTTTATAGTAATGTATTCATTATGCATTAGTTATTGATGTATAAATGGTTTTGTTCAACTCTTAGGTCACTCAAAGGATCTTGGTTTTCTGGAAGGCAAGCCAAAAGGAGGAGCAAACTCCAAACAAGACAAAGCAGCAGCTAAACTAGGGTATGACGTCTTGCTTGTTAAAATTTTATCAAGTTTGTAGCTTGTACCTTGACAAAGCCATATAAAAAAAAATAATGTTGAATTTACTCAGATTTCTTAGTGACTTGACTGCTAGTCGTGCATATCATGTTTCATTTACTGTAAACTCTGTTATTTTCTCAGGATTAATTTTTCACGCTGAGCAACCCCCAAAACATATTTGTGGGTTCTTGTTAAAATTAGCGTTGCACGCAATTCAGCCTGTTCAAAACAGGCATAAGAAGTCATGCTTATATTTTGCAAGTTCTAAAATTCGCACTTGCAGAACCTAGTGCAAAATCTGTGAAAATAAATGTACCACAAATATTTCCGCATTTACAGTAGTGCAGAAAGTGCTGTGCATTATTCAATAAGCTGATGTTCTACAATCAATAACATTAAAAGAAACATCAAGAACAAACAACAGACACTTTTAAGAAATTAACATTGAAATTGAAGTACGGATACTGCTAGATAATTCACACATTTCTCATCTCCTTTGTTTAAAGTCATGCTGCATTTGTAATTCAAGAAGAGACATTACAAGACCTCAAACAATTAAGTTTGTGACCTGATTAATGAGTATATCAACTCCATCAGAAATGGTTCAAATTAAATTTAGATTTCAATGATATTTTTTCTAAAAAAGTCAAACCTCTCAAACATTCACTGATCATTGATGTCTGTTACACGCTAGCAAAGGAATTAAGATGGAAATGGATGGAAATCCTTGCAAATTTTTCATATCTCCATGCATTCATTTTGCTGTGTGGTTCATACTCAGTCACTAATTTGACCAACGACATGATGTTGTATTTACAGACCCAATATGAAGAGGAAAGCGAAGAACACAAAGTTTGGATACGGCGGGAAGCACAAGGGAAGCAAGGTGAACTCCAAGCAGAGTGCTAGGGATGATGAGGATCACTTTAGTATCAAAAGAAACAGATCAGATGTCGCCAAACACCAGGTGAGACCACACATAGCTGCATTACTATCCTGGCTGTGTATTAAGAACTGTTCTATTGATTCTCAGCATTTCAAACACCACTGTACAAAACTCAACTGATTTCACTCAAAATCGGTACTTTAGTGACAATTGATGACACCTAAATAGTAGCAAAATGCAATCTTTTCAACTTTCTTGTACTTATCTATAAAGGTGCAGGCAAATTGTGTGGACGAAGTTGAAAAACTTTCTTCATTTTCCTCTGAAACCAACCTAACACAACCTACGTCTCAAATTCTCAAGTTCATTCTTACGGAAAAAGGAAAAGGCTCATAAAAAACATTACTTTCGTGTCAGACTTTAACCTTTCTTTTTTAATGTACACTGTAAATATAAATCACAATCTGTGTTTGTGAGAAGTACTAAATTTGATGGGGTGAATGACAGGTTCTGAGTAGGCACAACTCACTTAAAGCCCCACTACACTACTTTTAGCTACTTGCGTCCTCTATATAGCAAACAATGCCTAATCGGTGACCAATGGTCCCCCATGATCTTCTTTTTCTTATGTTAATTGAGAGCTGATTTGATGAGATTACCACCTGTCAGTGACATTGCAGGGAGGTCTTGTAATTGCCCCCCCCCCCCCCCCCCCCCCCCCCCCCCGGGCAAAACTAGTACAGACGAGCCGTAAGTTCATTTTTATTTTTATCCTAACAGAAACAATTTGGAGGAAAGCAGAGGAAAGGAAACACCAAACAGAAGAGACTAGGAAAAGGAAAGAGACAGAAACTCAAATCTAGAAAGAAATAATGGACTGTGCATCACTCTTTAGAAGTTTTAATTTATCTAATCGTGCTGCTAAAAAAAGACTCTCCATATTTCTGATATCCTGGGATCATACAGTGGAACTTTTTGCTGGTCCCAGCTCTTTACATTACTACCGGTATGTTGTTTTTTATATAACAAGGTAATTTCCTCAGTCCCAAGTACCTTGTTATAATGAGTTTCCATTGTATTAGGCCATGCTTCCTTTAACTGACTCCTAGTCCTCCATAATGAGGAGTAGGGGAGTTTACATGAAGTGTGAATCCTGCTTTAACATTTTGTCTTCTCAAAAAAGCTTGTGAATATGTTACTGTATGTCAAAGCTAATCTTGAGCTCTGGTATGGGAATTGTATTTCGAAAGAACGTGGCTATTTATTCATGCTGGATTGTTTACCCTGCAGTAGATTGATTGTTTGAACCAGTAAAATAAAAACAAAGTCACAAGAACTTACTGGAAATCATCTTCAATAAAAACCAAAACTCCAATGTGCACTTAGTGACCTGTATTAAGCACATGGTGTCGGGCCTACTTAATTTGATTTCCTTATCTTTCTATGCTCATTACTCGTCCCCTGGCACATTTCATTTATATGTAATCTTGAACATTCAGTGACAATTTTGTTGGATTCTGTGAGAATTTTACTTTCTATCATTACCAGAACTCAAGCTTATTTTTTAACTTGTATAAGTCTCACTAAAAGCATAATACATGTAAACAAAAACAAAAAAAAAAATAAAAAAAAAAATGGATTAACTTTTAGACATTTTAGATTTCATTTTGGACTGTTCAGATAGATGCTTTCATATTGATTCTACAATTGCAAAATTATGTGCCATTTTACTCAATCTATTATAAATGTGTGGTTTAATTTTAAAAATAAAAAGCATTATTTCAACGAATAAGGATTGTGTAATTTAGACTTGTGTTTACTTTATGGGGTTGATAGCAACCTCTCTTGAAGAAATGCCTGCACAAGAGACTACATGATAATGAAGAGATTAAATTCTTTCGTGGAAGGATCGACTAGTCCATTAAAATGAATAGAATTTATTTACGTGTACTGAAATGCAGGTGATTTATAAGTATGCCCTGATTTTGGATGGAAACAAAGTATGTAACGACAGAGTTTCAAAAAGAGGTTATACAACTTTCTAACTGGTTGGCATTTCCTCAGTGGACTTCCTCCCCCCCCCCCCCTTTTCATTTATTCCCAGCATCTCAAACAATTGCTAACTTCACTAAGATTATTTCAGTTGATGCAGATGGCATATTCTATTTTTTTCTTCAATCCAGCACTTCACACAGCCTCTTCATGTCTTTTTTGTCGTCGTTGAAAAATTGTGACAACTTTATATTAGTCATGAATGTCAAACTCTGCTTGTAGAGTAATTATTGTCCCTTTCATTTTTGTGCCACCTCCCAAGTCCGGGATTTTATTCAAACAACTGCTCAACTTGTAAATAAATTTTAGAAGTTTAAAAGATGATTGATTTGTGTGAGACGCAATTTTTGTTTTTGAAATGTTTTATTTCATGCAGTATAATTCAGAAATTTAAGAAGAATGCGAGGGGTCTACAAAATGGTGCTTACCAACAGGTGTGCTATTTTGTGATAAATACGCTTTTTAAAACACATTACCGGTAGTTGATAATTTGAAATTTTCATTTGACCAACTTTCATTTGAATCTGAACATAACTTTAAAGATTAGTTTTGTGCATCAGGAGCAAATTTATGTTCATTTAAAAATAAAGTTGAGTTCTAGTCTTGCGATTGCATTATGAAAGAAACGATATGGAATAGATCAGAAAAAGTTGATCATGTAGCATATAAGTATCGGTATGTACTGCAAGGTTCTGGAATCATAACGTTAAGAAATTTGGCCCAGTCTTGGTCGGTAAAGTAACAAGCACTGTACATTAAAAGAAGTATATGGGACTACACATACATGAGGCCAACATTTCAAAGCTGTTGCTAAGAATATGAAGAGCCATGCTTTTCAGGGAACATTTTTTTCTCTGATTTTCATCTACACTTGCATAATAACAATGAAAATGCTCACAAATTATTGTTCACCTTTCCCCAGAACTCAACCTTCTCTTTAAAGAGAAGGTTGAGTTCTGGGAAGAGGTGAAAAATAATTTGTGAGCTTTATCATTGTTATTATGCGAGTGTGGAAGAACATCAGATAAGACATGCTCCCTGAAAAGCATGGCTCTTCAAATGCCTTCATATTCTAAATATGGCATGTAACATCGTAAAAATTGGGACGGATTTTTACGCCACGTGTTCGTGTAGTCCCATATACATCTTTCTGTGTACAATGCTTGTAACTTTACCAAGACTTGGCCAAATTTCTTTTCATTTTGATGATTCCAGAACCTTGCAATACAAAAAAATACTTATGTGCTAGATGATCAACCTTTTCTGATCGACTCCACACCGTTTCTTTCACAATTTGCAGTCGCATGACCAGGACTCAACTTTATCTTTAAAGGGCAAGTCCACTCCAATACAAAACATTCTTTCAATATAGAAGCAGAAAAATCAGACAAACCTCAAAAAAAGTTTGAGGAAATTCTGATGACTAATAAGAAAGTTATGAATTTTGAATGACATGAAAAACTTTGAAAACTGCAAGACAAATTGGCAACTCGCTCGAGTCTGTGACATCATTGCCTCACTATCCACTAATTATTTTCTTTATATTGATAATATAAATTTCCAATCCCCCTAAAAATCTTATCCACTCACCAGCATCCAAGTTGTATTGATAGTTAATATGTTTTTGTGTGGATGCACTAATACGCAGTAATTTTTTGTTAATTCATGAGAAATGTGAATTTTGATAAACTATTTATCAATGATTATGAATATACAATATTCCAAGTTTTGGGGGATAAAAAGGGGAATCAATTGGATAAAAATATATAAAGCAATTGATAAATAGTGAGGCAATGACGTCACAAACTGATAACCAAATTGGCATTTTGTGTAGTGATTTTCAAGTTCCATAGTTTTTCATACTTTAAACATAGTTATCCGATTTTACTCAGGTTTTGACCTCTTCAATTTTTGTTAATATTTTATCTCTCAACTGCTTTTCTTTCACTCTCGTTATCATTCAAAAATGATTTCAGCCTCACATAGATAAAGCAAGAAACACAAGCAGTAATTGATAATTTTGGTTTTTAATATAAACAATATATACAATTTATATACACATGTGTACAATTTCCCATGAATCTGGAGAGAAAGAAAAAAAATACATGTATTATTGTTAATGTTTATGTGTACTTCCTAGTGAAAGTGGAAATTCATCTTTATTTATTCAAATAAATGAACTTTTTTTCTGGAAAGAGTATCAATTTTTAATTTTTTTCTCCAGATTTTCTTGCATAGCTGGTATTTTAGCATCGAGTACATTTCCTGAACACTGCGTTATCGAAATACAAACAAATGAGATAACCAAATAACAATAAAAGATATTCCTTTGATATAACATGTGTTCAGTAAGTCGTCAGGAACAAAATGATTAAAGACTGATTTTTGTTTATAGACACAATGGAAGATATTGTCTGAGTGACAGAAGGTCTATGTTAACATGAGATGTACATGTATTTGCCATTTTCACAGAAGTGTAACAGATACAAAACAATGTCAACTGCCAGAAGTATACAAAACAATGTTGCCTCCCATTAAAAAGATAATTAAAAGAAACGCATGTAGCATAGTACGCCATTTGCATCGCCTAATCCAAATAATACTTTGCCATTTTAGGCAGCAAGAATATTGCCTTGCATGTCAACTTGAAAGATATCATACAAGTGTATTATACAAGTACATGCATATATAGGTACATTTAATAAGGAAGTGCAGTGCTGAATATATTGAAGGCATAGCAGTTATATTGCATACATGTAGATATACTAAGAAGCAGCTCAACACTCTAAATCACACAGTATATTGATTTGCATAACATTACAAGGCCATGGCATTTTGCACACTTTGGTACTTTTGTGCCTGCTGGAAGAATAATAGAAAAGAGGTGTGGTACCCATTTGGGGGTACATCCTGGTTCTTTCAACTGAATGAAGACGTTGAAGTCAAGATTATGTGCTACATGTAGGTCCTATAGCATTATAAAAGAACTGCACTATTTTTTCTTCTCAAAAAGACCTTTCTATGATCTATTCTTTGCAAGATCAGACTGGGCCTAGCTACAACTCAATCCTGGTAACTTTACTATCATGTAGTTATACAGACATTCTGTCCTAATGCTAACTCAGCTTGCACACCAGAGAACCTTATCAGCACACTAATAAATACTTTCAATTTAAACATTGCATAGTTTCTTTGCTTTCATTATCTGCACTGGAGCAGTTAACATACCAGTAGCAAATTAAGATACAAATAAGTGATCTATTGTGAGGAGGGAGTGAGTGATAAACAATGGCCTTTCACCCTTAAGCCTCATTCTGATATCTTGCTGCAGAACGGTGACGTAAAGTATTATATGCTTCACATTTCTGTTACGGTGAATACTCGCTGGAACTTTGTTTCATCCAGTAAAACCACTTTATAAAACAACTGGCCCTGTTTTTTCTTCTTTTCTTGTGACCATTTACCGTGTCATATCTGAAAGAACCTTTACTTTTACCAAGAGCTAATGTACATGCATGTCTATGCTCTTGTCAAACACATATGCATCTTGATTGTGGTGGAAAGCACTGGAGATCACATCGTGGTAAAGTGAAATTTAGAGAGGATTTAGCATGTATGAGCATATTATCCTTCTAGCGACCCAAATTCTCTCCTTTTGCATCATTTTTGTTTAATACTGTAACATGACAAATAAGATATTTTGCTTCATCTTAATATCTGAATCGCTTCTGTGTATTAAAAACTGCATAGTAAATTGATTGGCAGAGCAGCAATCCCATTCTATTTTCTGTCAACCTTTATAAATCCCAAGCACATTCTTACAAAATTATGTTTTTAATTTACAAATAACATGCAGTACAAGACAAAAACTGTTTTTGTTAAATTAGTGACAACTAACTAACAAAAATGTTGTACGCAGGATATATCAAGATACTGTACAGTATAAACTATAAATGAGTTTCAAGTCAATATTGCCACTGTTCCCCGATCATACTACTGTAGATTCTCTTGCTGTTCTTTCTGCTTCCACGCTTCGTCCATATATTTGGTGATCTCTGTATTCTGTCTGGGGTAGTGTATCCTCTTATCACCACGATCTTGAGGGAGCTGTTTGAGAAAAGAAGATTTGAAAGTAATGTTATTTCTGTTGAATCATTTACGAAATATAAAAATTACCTGGAGTACCGGTACACAATTGTCAAAGTCTAGCTACTCAACAGTGCACCCAACTTGGAACTAAAACCTGCTTTGTGTACCGTATAGAGGTTGTGTTTGCATAACAGCAGATAGTGGTTATATAGGGCATACTATGTAGAGGTGGATGCTGAATGAATAATCAACAATTGGAACATGGATCATAGACCAAGGTCTTTGGTCAGAAACCAGAATTATGATGTGCCAATTAATAACATGATTTTAAAGGCCCACTGTAATACTTGTAGCTACTTGCTCCCTCTATATAGAAAAAAAATGCCTAATTGGTGACCATTGGTCCACCAGGATCCTCTTTTTCTTATGTTAATTGAGAGCTGAGTTGATGAGATAGCTACCTGTCAGTGACCTTCCTGGGTGGCCTAATCCCTCCTAGCCAAACTAGTACAGATGGCCTTTAAAATGTTTCAACCAAACTACAAAATACTAATTTATTTCTCCAAAGATCCCGGACATTGTTTTTGAAGAAATGTTTTATCCAGGCACAACACAGAAACACTTTATCACCACAACAGGCAAATATTGATCAGTATGAATTCTACTTGTAATACCTTTATCTGAATATTAATCTGCTCTTCAAACATATGAGCAAAATACATATGTAGTTTGTACTACTTAATAATAGACTGACCATGTAAGTAGGATATTGCATTTCTATCAACCTTGACTATATTACAAAAAAGAGGGAAAGATAGGACTCCTTACCAATGGTTTGTAGTACCAGCCTACTTCTTGTGCTTCTGTTTGTGGAAATTCAAATTTCTTTCCAGGCTCCTGGGTAGATCTCTTGATTATCCTCAGGAAATTATCTGAACAGAGAAAGGCAAACACAGATAGAGTTAAAAATAAGACTGCTTTCCTGGTATGTAGCTATGTACATGTATTGCAGATGAACTAAAGGTACTGGAGGAGGGGGGGGGGGGGGGGGTTAAAATAGTGTTAGACTTAGACAATAACGATATATATATTTATGATGTTTATATAGGCCTAATGCTATTTGATGCAAACATTTTGTTGAATCCAAAGAAAAGGCAAAAGGGATGGTAAAGCTTCCAGACACAAACTCCCCACCATACATGTACCCCTAGACCAAAGAAAAATTCCATTTTGATCTGGGATGTTTTTTCTTCTGTTGAGACTAAAAGTGGCTTTGATCACCGAACCTCTCTCTTGGTCCTGGAGGAGAGCATCAAAAGACAAAATATGTTAAGAAAATTTCTTCTAACAGACAGATTTTTCTGTCTCATGGAACCGAAGACCCAATGATATGCCATAACTAACCCAACATTTTATAGGAAATAAAACCCAGCTTATTATTATAGAAAAAACTTGATGTAAAATTTTGGACTAACATCTAGACCCTAGCCATTCAAGAATTCATTTGTTGAAAGCCAGATCGAAGTGTGTTACCTAATCAAAGTAGATGCCTAGCTTAATACTGGCTCCTAACAGATAAAATGTTGAATTTCCTGAACTTACCGTCTTCTTCCCCATCAGCCGAGTCATGTAATGAGTTGGGCTTTCCAGTCAGCGTATACACTGCGAGGTAGAGAAAAACAAACATCAAATTAATATTGTAAAAAATAAAGGCAAAGCTCTTTGAAGTATTCATAATGTGTTAAATACAGTTATGATATTTAGACTATTGTTAGAATGTATCAAATTTATCACCCTAGAGGCTAGACTGAGTCTAGTCTAGACTTTAAGTTTACAGGAAAAGTTAGATCTTCAAAAAAAAAAATTAAATCAAGACCCTGGCCCAAAAAAGAATTGATGTCTACTAAACCAGGGCTGTCAACCCTCCCGCATTTGGAGGGAGTCTCACGCAACCACGCTCATTCTCCTGCTGCCCCAAAAGGCAAAAGCTTGTAAGTTGTAGCGGGAGACTCCCGCCACCACGCCTTCCTCCCGCTCTCCCACCAATGATGTAGGCCTAGAATTAGACCGAATTTTCCGTCTCTTTCATTCGTTAGCCTCTTATTGGGGTAGGGTCGGCTCTCTCTTTAGAGACGGAAGCCGTTTATACACATGTCCTTGCTAACGCCACGGCCAGTTCTGGTCGTAGCGTTTTGCCCCCAAAATCCCCCAAAATGTCATTTTACCTCGAGCATGTTATATTGTAAATTAGGCCTAGGCTATAATAAATCAGTTCCACTTACCAACTTGACTGAAATAATCAGTTTAATAGTCCCTTTTTAGGAAATTATGGGTCAAAATCGAAATCCATTTTGAAAATCTTTTTCAACATGGATTCCGATTTTGACCCATAATTTCCTAAAAAGGGACTATTAAACTGATTATTTCAGTCAAGTTGGTAAGTGGAACTGATTTATTATAGCCTAGGCCTAATTTACAATATAACATGCTCGAGGTAAAATGACATTTTGGGGGATTTTGGGGGCAAAACGCTACGACCAGAACTGGCCGTGGCGTTAGCAAGGACATGTGTATAAACGGCTTCCGTCTCTAAAGAGAGAGCCGACCCTACCCCAATAAGAGGCTAACGAACGAAAGAGACGGAAAATTCGGTCTAGCCTAGAATCTCCCGGTTTATGAAAAAACCTCCCGCCAATCTGTACCGTAGATCCATGGTAGATCTAGGTCTAGACCCTATACAAAAAAAAAAAAAAAAAAAAAATGTGCTCTTACCCCCCCCCCCCCCCCCCCCCCTCAAAATTATTTTGCTGGATTTGGCACTTAATATTTTCTCCAAAAAAAAAAATCTCCCTCCAAGCAGCAGTTTCCCAAAGTTGACAGCTCTGCCTAAACCGTAACTGTATGTAATCACAACAAACTTACTCTTTTTGAAAGGGTTGATACTGTAGTTTGTGTACAATCTCTGGCACTCATTTTCCTTCTTAATCGTCTCACATAAGATAGCATTTTGATGAACAATGTTGACGGGATCCTTTTCTGGTTTCTTTGCTTGCGCTGCAGCCATGTTTGTTAAATATTATTGTTAACAATAAACAATCGGCGATAGTTTTTGTTTTGGGAAGTTGGAAGTCAAAATGACAAAGCAGCCTTGATTTGTCAGTTGACACCACGACAAAATTATGAAGATTGATCAACTGAAATACTCTGAAATTGTGGATTTCAGGCAGTGAAACAACGACACACCACGGCTCCAGTTCAGTCTAAATGCTATCGAGTCAGAGAGATCAGCTATCACTTTATCAGCTGGCTTTGTAATTTTGCACGTGAATATAGCTCGCATAGATTACGTGTAAACAATGTCAATGGTTGCTAAGCATAACAGTTCGTTGACCCAGCTCGCAGGATGAGTTTATTCTACCGCAAGATGGCGACATTGCTCAAAAAGAGATAAGAGCATTATTTTGTACTGATTTCATTTTGATAAAAATTAATACATGTATAAGATAAAATAACAAATGGATAGATCTAAATAAATGATACCTAGTGAAAGCTACAGCTGTTGAAGTACAAAGCCTACAATGGGGTTTATATTATTTTCAACTGTAGACCTACTAATGAAGCATCTCAAAGTTGTTTCGTCTGTTAATCAGAACCATAAAGATTCGTTGATGTTGATGTTGATTTTATACCCTGTTATTTCAGCATTATACACTGTAGTATGAAAAAACCAAATTGATTGATTGCATGATTGATTGATTGATTGATTTTTATTCGCCAAGCTTCCAACATACATACAGGATAACCCACGAAAGCTCGAAAGCTTATTTCCAGTGGGGTCGTCCCGACAGACAAGTTAACATTAATAAGTTAAAATAGTAATTTACAGACAGATAAGAAGAAAACAACTTATTAAAGATAATAACGATGATAATGATAATAACAACATTAAACAGATGATAAAAATGATAATAAGTACAAAAAAAAAAAAAAAAAACTAAGGAGAAGAAGAAAAAGAGGAGGAGTGAGGACGGAGAAGAAAATAATGATGAATAACGTATAAAACACTTATATACAAAATGAAAAAGTATGAACAGGCAGAAGAATAACAATTTCAATCATATGACATGTCATTCGCTTCTCTTATCTAGCTGACTCTCAAGTGTTAGGTATTCCTTTAATTAGTTCCTCTTAAAATGAGCAAAGTTTTCTATTTCTATTTTCTATTTAATGATAAATCAGGTACACATGTAATGAGAACCTAGACTATTTATATTGGGCCTATCAAAAGCTATTGACTTTCTCGTTCTCATTCTCATTGAATTTTTTTTTTAAATGGGTAAAATAAACTCAAACAAAAATTGGGTAAAAATATTTTATTGAATTATCAATAATTTGTTAGTAGACTAGATAATTATTTCTTAATCATTAAGTTTGAAATAAACATGCGTAATGTCGACCGAGCATGTCTTGTAGATTTGCAGGAAGCACATAGTCTGAAAGAGGATGATGACTAGATTTTCTACTAAACATAAACACATTTGCTAATGTTTTTTTTGTTGTATAGATTGTTATTCATTCTTAATTTTGTTTGGTAGGACAAAGGGAGGTTTTTCTGATATTGTTGTTTGTTAATACCTGACGTTATGCCAACGCCAGCTGGCGCTGTTGCTGACATTTACGTGGATGCTTTCGATCAACCAATTTTCATCGCGAACAATTGTAATTCTGCCATAAATTTATCATTTTATATCATCTCTGAATGTGCTTGAAGTAAGTATGGATAATTGTAAGAATACCAACCTACGTTTTATGACGTGTTAATTTTTGTTTGTATTTTAGAGAGAGAGTTTAGGCTTTCCAGATGCATTATCGACACAGCAGACATCGAGGGTCAATAGACAACACACGGTGTACATACACATAGTCTACATGCAGCTGCATCGTCTTCAGTTTGTGCTTGTGGTGGTGCCGGGCCCGGGCTGGGCTTGGCAGCTGTGTTACAGAAGGGTGCAGAAAAATGCAGAAGCTAGTGTTTTTAGTATAGTGTGATGATCTGGGCGCTAGTTCAGAAGTGTATCCAGACTTTGACCCGTAACTCTGGCGTGGAGATACCGTACTAAATTATACTGAAAATCGACTAGGTCTAAATCTATATCAATTGTTCAAGACAGTTATTGTCATGATTTAAAAGTCGTTTTGTTTCTTACGTGGCGTGTTTCATGTCAATTTTCTTATCTTTTTTGAGGTATTTTTTCCTAAAAACAAAACCATATAATATATTAAATATACACTTTCTCACAAGATTCACGGCAAAATGCTGCACGATGCAATTGCATACCGTACCGACGGTGGGGTGCCGGCGCGCGTGTGTTATTTAAGTTAGCGACTGTAGTCTAATTAATCCAAGCTATTTTCTACGTATGCGACAACCAAGTGCTGGTGATTGTACGTCACAGACAGATGTACAGATATTTGGGAGACTCTCCATTTGATTTTGACTTTGAGTTTGAGGCTGAGTGAGAGACAGTCTCAGAGTCAGACGTGCACTTACTGACTTAATAGTCTTGGCTTAGCCTTTTTAAGATCTAAATTAGCTTACAAAAGAAACAACATCAGTAACGAGGCAATTTTTCCCTGCCTAATTTGGCTTTTAAGTGGTTAATTGAAACTTTTTGCTACCTTGCGAAGCAAATGGTGGTTTCCTATTTCATGATAATGCCCCAAATTTTTTATCTCTCTGAAGAGTCTAAGTTCTGAAGTCCATTGCCTTTAAATGGTCCTGTGTGTGGATCATAACAAAGACTTATAAAAAACATGCTATAAACATTGAAGCATATTCACTTGCACGGTTCACAGTTCACACATATAGAGACATACATGTCGACTACAGTGTATGTGAATCTGCTTTTATTTACTTCACCGTGGCACCTCACACTGTGCACTGACTGACACACAGCGTAACATCATCCAGGGATAGCTTCTAAACTAGTTCTAGGAGCTTGACATGATAAGCAAAATTATACATTCCTCTTAAAACACACATTTGTATCTTTTATCTTTTGATATCATTTGTTTATATGTATGATTCATTGTTTTATTGATCTATTTACTTATTATCATTGTTATTACTATTATTATTATTTTTGAAATGCTGAAAGAAGGAACATGTAGGCATAGATCTGGGAGCCTAGCTCTTTAAAACACCCAATATAGGGCTTATAGATTATGAGCTTGAAAATAGTAAATAGGTATGGAATTTTATAATTCACATTTTACCTCTTTACTAGTTGAATAGCTCATGTTGTATAGATTTGGTAAGGTCAATTATATACAGTGTAGATAAAATAATAAACTTGTTTCCCTCTTTGTATTGGTTTTACAGAAATAGTCTGAATCAGCACCATAGAGCAGGCCATCGATCACAAGTCAACATTCTTGGAAGCGTAACTGGTATTGGCTACTCCTTGGCTCTTACTATCACCAGCAAATGAGATGCTTACTAAGAAAGCTGTAAAATAGGTCGGAATTATTGATGCTGCTCATTCAGCTCTGCAAGCTTAGTGACACAAGTAAAAGTATAGTTACATGGCTGAATATTATCAAAGACGATAACTGGACCTTTTGTCTCACATGCGAAGAAGAGAAGAACTTCCCTACATGTAGCTGTGATCTAGATTTGATTCATTCATCGTAGCAAGGAGATTATGTTTGATGAATTCATCGGTTACAAAGGAACTGCAAGACTAGACAAAGAGTAGGAGTCACAATGAGCGTTGGCCCCCTTGTGACCGAGATCCTTTGTGTGTTTGTGCTCGCTGCGTACCTCCTCCACAAGTATGGAGATTGGCGCAAGCAGCATCCTGCCGTTACCTTGGCAACCTTCATCTCCTGGTATTTCTCTCTCATCATCGTCTTCATGTTACCTCTCGATGTTACAACGGTGAGTCCATATGATAATGTATAGGGACACTGATTTTCCGCGATCACGGAAAACGGATGGAATTCAGAAAATGACCATTTGAAACGGAAAATGCAATTTCGAACGAAAAATCGCGGAAAACTCTATTACCTCAAAACTTTTCATTTTTCAATGAGAAAATCATAAAACTTACACTATTTTTGTGACTCGTTATGCAGACTCCATTTGATCATGATCGACAATGTCTTTTGAAAATGTTGATAATTGTATTGAAATTGCGAAAAGTAATGATCTTTTTTTTTAAGTATCATTTTTGCCTACATGTACCTGCACTCAGTCTCAACATTTGAGGAAATTGATAAATATTCAATCAAAGCAGACATACCTGTAGTAAAGCGATATCATTCTAGAATAGGTAATATACAATGTGTATTGGGAGTGCATAAAAAGCTGAGCTTCATCATTAACAATATTGTGTTGTTTGTTTTCAGACATTTTATTTGCAGTGCATGAAAGCTGCCGAATCCCCCACAGTACCGGACGTGACTCCTGCTTCACCGCCCCTCCAACAAATCCCTACAACGGACCTTCATGCAAAGCTGACCCAGGTAGGGCACACCGACAGTGCCCTAGGTACGACTAACCTGATGCTAAATGCATCCCTGATGAATTTAACTGGAGGAGGAGAGGGTTCTTTGAGGGATAGGAGGAGTTTAGCGGAGGAGCAGTGCAAGAAACCCTGGAGCTACGTCCCGGAAGATATCCTTCCCATCATCTGGAAGATCGTCTATTGGACTACCTTTGTGCTGACGTGGTAAGTGGCATGTTTTTTAGTTGATGGGTGTTCAAGAATGTGTACTTCATGTGGGTAATTCCATAAATCAGGGAACCACTATGTGACATTTTTTGGGTGTCCCAGTTATTCAATGAACCCACATGTATTTGTGGCTCTGAGTAAAGACTTACCGGTAAGTAGGGGAGTGAGATTGTAAAGTGATTTCCAAACGTAATATTGCATCATACCTACAGTGTAGAATCACTTGACAATCATACTCCACTTTTTAAGTCTCTACTCAGAGCCACAAATACAGTGTACATGTACATGTACATGTATGTAACTGGTTATGGAATTATCCATGTACAAATATATTTATATAATAATAATAATAATAATACATAAGATTTATAAGGCGCCAAAGCCACTTAACAGTCAAATGTTCAAGGCGCAGCTTGTGCAAGAGATGAAATATGTACATAATACATTTATACAAAGTGCAATAAGAAAGGTACAGACATGAAAGGTTATGGTAATCAATTATAAGCTAAATTAAACAGATATTTCTTAAGATTGTTAGCAGAGCTGCTATTTTTAATCCATTGAGGGAGAGTATTCCATAATGAAGGCCCAGCATGAGTGAAGGTTCGCTCCCCCCAGTTTGTTTTAACCCAGATTACATCAGATAGCCTGTACATAATTCTTTTTGGGGCATTCAGTTAAGTTGGGGCAAAAAGTAGGACCATATGTCCATGGACTCTGATACATGTATGAGTCTTCTTCTATGGAAGATGAAATCATCTGTTGACGATTTTTATTAGTGCAATGAAAATAGGAGTGTCCTGCCAGAATCATTCCTATTTCAGCTGCTTCTCTTCAAAATCTTTGACTAATAAGTGTTTCTCTTTGTTAACCAGCATTACATTGGACATCACATTTATTTTGTACTTTAGGTCTATAATATTGATTCACCATAGAGCTAGAGTACTTCTAAACACACATGTAGTTGGCTATGCTTGTCAGGCTAAGCTCAACGTGAGCAAACATTGTTATGATTGATAGCAAACATACATGTAGTGTCTCACATCAGGGGAGTGTTTCACAAAGACTAAGATCGACCTAAAGTTGGAGTCGGACTTAAGTATGGCAGGCCATTCATGCCACTGTTTGCTCTCACCATTATGATATTTAGATCCTGAAATAATTATTTACCAAAAAATGTAAATTCTGTAGGATTTGTGACCTTGTCCTTGTACTCACAGCGAGAGGTCAGTGACACAAAGACGTAACTCCATTTTGAGAAAAAGTGGTTTATGTGTCACTGAGCACATGAGTCTATGTTTCACGGCCATTGACTTCAATGGGGTGTTGGTTGGAGTTACATTGTAAGTCCTTGTGTTTCCTGGAAAGCCCACATTTTCTAAACATTTTGATATCAAAAACTCATTTTGGCAAAATATGGAGTTACGTCTTTGTGTCACTGAAACCTTGACTGGGTAAACTATCAAATTGTGAAATATGTTAGAAACAGAGGCCGAGCTAAAATATATACTGTACTGTACATGTAAATACATGTAGATAGATACCTGTAGATAGATAGATAGGTTGATAGACCAATCAATAAACAGGGGCTAATAAATCATAAATTGCCCATATAATATCTGGAAGAAATTCATCATGTATAAGAAAAATAATTAAATACTAGATTTTGTAGTTAATTACTTTTTATAAATCATTAACAGAATAGTTTGACTGAAAAGTACATTGTTATACATGTAGCCCCTTTATTTGTAAAATGATGATTTTTACCCCAATGCTGATTATGATCAGACAAGCATTAGCTTTTGCTGTAAGGCTGCAATGAGTACTTGAATACTTGAGTACTCGCACTGTTGACAACTACTCGGGTGCGATATCTCGTACTCGTATACACGGCTTTTTTTTTTTTTTTTAAGTGCCGATTTATTGTACAGTTTATGATTTGTGAAGGTTAGAGCAAGATCATATCTGGGGTTGATTGTAATGTAGAGATAAAGTATGTACAGCATGAGTCATAATGATTACACAATGTATGTGATCAAATATTAATTGATATTTGACTACGTACATGTACTTGATTTTTTGACTTTGACCTTTTTTAAACATACACAAACAGGAGAATGGTAGATGATACTATTGTGGCACCACATTTAAGCCGTAGTTTACACTATTGCATTCAGCCAGCGAACAATTGGTTGATTTGTGTCATTGAAGGCCTTTAGAATCCTTCATTATTTTCTTTGGTTACCCTTTTATTTATACATTTATGGTTCCCTCCCAGTTTTAATATAATTTCCCGGTTCATGTAATCGATAGTGTTTATCTTCCTCTCTTTTTTGCTGGAAACAGATATCTACTGATTGTTTTCATGCTGTGTGTATGATAAGTCATGAACTTGGCAGTAGAGATTATACATACATGTATGTAGATTTAACTAAAACTTGCTGCACATGCCCCAAATTTTAAAGATATGATTCAATAATTGAACAGATACAGTTTAGTTGCCTATATACATGTAGATACATGGTCACGTATTTAAAGCAAGTGTGATTTTTAAATAGTTTGCCCCTCAAAATGAGCAAACAAGCTGATTGTAATCTTACATAATTTAGCATTACTCCTTACAAGTTACATGTTTGTTCTCCACTGGGACTGTCTATCTGGTGCTTTTGAGCTAATGGGGAAATCAATTCAATACATCCCATCTGGCAATTGTTCAAAATCAAATATTAATTCAATTGATTCCATACACCCTGTACATGTACAATCATTGATCTCAACACACAAAAGAAAGTCAGTCATTAAAGAGTTAAGATTGTAACAGCAATGCATGTGTTGATGGCTCGTTGCACTTGAAGGAGGTTTCAAGGGGGAGGCAAGAATTCATTTCATGAGAACGCTTCCAATTCAGGAGTTGCAGTGACATTAAACTGTTGCACGTTACATGTATTTACTATTTAGACACCCTGTACCCATAGTGGGTAGTGCTTGACAATATCTTTGACATCATGAATCAAAATGTTGATTTAGATTAGATTTATTATTTTGATTGATGATAATGATGAATATGACAAGGTTGGTGCTTTTGCTGTTTGGTGGATACTGGACAGTAAGATTAATATTTCGAAAAACATGGAGTTGAATTCTTTCAAAAATCCTTACACTATGATGTACATTTACATGTATCTATGATTATTTAAATTTTTAAACTTCTTTCCAAACAGACTTCATATTTTGCTTAGGGAAATCAACATAAATTATAAACAATGTCACGTTTTTGTTGATAATCCTCAGAAATGTAATTTCCTTTTACATTTTATTACATATAAAACTAACTATTGAACTACTTGATGTGTCATGTTACAAATTAATTTATCAATGTTAAGTAATACCTTCAACTTTATTGATGAACACATTTTAAAGAACATTTATAGTTTATTATTTGTTTGCTGTATTTCCAGGGTCATTGTGCCCTTCATAAATTTGTACACCCAAGCTGCCAATTTTACAGTTATTTGTACATGTACCTTTAATAAGCTTGTTGAAGAACCATTATCTTAGAAATAAATTATAAATTCATTTTCTCTCTCTCTCTCTCTCTCTCTATCCCTTTCTCTTTCTCTTTCTCTCTCTGTCTCTGCATGTTTGTCTGTCTGTCTGTCTCTGTCTCTCTCTCTGTCTCTCCCTCCCTCTCTCTCTCTGTCTCTCTCTCTGTTTACAGGCTCATTATGCCCTTCATGAAGTCGTACACACAAGCTGGTGACTTTACAGTTGCAGGCAAGCTGAAAACTATCTTGGTGCAGAACGCCATCTGGTATGGCAGTTATCTTCTCATTTTCGGGGTCCTTCTCATCTGTGTGGCGGCCAAACCTGAACTCCAATTAAGTGGGTAAGTAGTGCACAGGAGAAAATAAGTGTGGCCTAGGTTATCAATTCTAGACATGGATGGAAATCAGCATAACAGACACTTATCAGTGCCCAAATTATAATATTTCTTAGGTGAGCATGCCAAACAGTATTTATGAGGCCTAAAAAAAGATGCTGTATTGCCCTTTATTGTCAAAACTTGGGTCGGTTGGTCGGTCGGTCGGTCGGAAATCTTTCTTTTAATACTTTTTTTTTTAAAACTCCCTCTTTGGGCTTATATTTCTCAGTTTTGAATGCTATAATACATTTTTTTTTTTTAAATGGGTAAAAAAAAAAAAATCTTTAAAAAAAAGGGCAATACAACATCTTTTTTTAGGCCTGATAGTGAAGCCAGCAGCCTTTACCTATCGTCTTTTTTTCCATGACATCACTGATCATTAACATTGAGTAAAGCCCCGTTGAGATATGATGCGGCACAACCTCTGCGTTTGTTGTGACATAAAGAGTATTAATATGCTTCTAGTCCAGGCATAATTTGATATGACCTCCCACTAATTGCAACAGAAAATGTCTCGACTGTTTTGTGCTCTTGGAGGTGTCCATTATAACATATCAAAAGTCTTAAGGAATCCGGGTGGGGGAAAGTGCCATGGCGGCCATTTTTTCAAAATGGCCGCCATGTATAACTACTGTTGTACAATTCTGGGGATTACTTTTTAACAGCACCTCATTTTACCATGCATAAGGTGTCATATGAAAGACAATTACATTTCCTACAAGATGATACCTCATTCAAAAGGTTTTGGGATGATTTGCTTCCCAATTTTGAGCCAAAAGTGTGATTTTTTACCATTTTTTTCAAAAATGTGAATTGCGCCAAAATACATATTTCTCCATATTTAATTGATTCTTATGCTAACCAACTTGAAACTTGCTGAAAAACTGTTCAGCATCCTAGTTGATACCATATCCAAATTTCAAGTGTATTACTCTTCAAACTAAAAAGTTATAGCGCTCTAAAGTTGAAACTTTGTTATGAGCCAAAATGGCAAATTTGGTTGCTAAGGGCTATCTTCTCCTTAGCAACGGTAACATATTGGCGTGAGAAATAGAATATATCACGAGAAATTGCTATCACCAAGCAGATGACTACTTTTATAGAAAGTATGATGTCAAATGATGCATATTCATCCTATTTTAATGAAAAATATCGCTTAGTTCCCGTTGCTATGGTAATAATATGCCTAGCAACCGATATAAAACTCATATTTTTGTTGTAAATCTAATATTTCCTATATCTCTGCTTCTAAATAACATAGAGTTTTGATTTTAAGTGCTAAACATACATTTCCAGAGACAAGGAATCAAATTAATTAAATTGTAATGAGCTAAACCTAGCCAAAAAGCCGAAACGGCAGCCATTTTGCAAAATGGCCGCCATAAACCTGATATTTCACAATATCTCCGCTTCTAAATGACTTAGGGCTTTGATTTTCAGTGCTAAATATACATTTTCTGGGACCAGGAATCCTTTGAAACACATTTCAATGAGCTAATCCTGACCAAAAAGCCGAAATGGCAGCCATTTTCCCAAATGGCTGCTATAAACCTGATAATTCCCAATATTTCTGCTTCTAAAGGCTTAGAATTTTAGTGTAAAACGTACATTTTCTGGGGCTAGGAATCCAATGACACAGATTTCAATAAGCTAAACCTGACCAAAAAGCATTATTCTGAGGATGTGTCAACTCTATACCATGGCATGCTGTATGCCTGATGGACAACGTAAAGGTATAGGTCATAATTATTCAAGGACATTATCTTGGAATCCTGTGACGAAAGGAAGGATGCCAGAAACAGTCAAAGCCCGTGTCCTCCATGTGCATGACCTTCATGCTGCAGATGCAGTGTACCACCAGGTCTGCAGTGTTAACTAATGCTGTGATGTCTCATGGAACAGACATACCTGATTTCAGTTCGGAGTTTGTCCAGTATGCTGCAGACAATGTAGACCACAACATCTGTACCCTTTATGGTAACAATACATTCCATGGCATGGGGATGATTGCTGCCATAACCCCAGCCACCAAGACCAGCAGACCTACCCTCAGGGCGCAGGTCACCTCCAGCGATATCTCCACGGTGGGACGAATTCCTATCCATTACCACAAAGAAGAGAGCCGCGGTATGACAACACTGGTATACCAGAAGGTGGTCAACATGAAGGCAAAGGGCCCAACAGCAGACCTTGATCTCATGTGGAAGACATCCATTATGTTCACCTCACCAAGACCGGCATGGTCTGGACTGATGCAGCTAGTGCATCATAGTGACCACCCCTGGAAATCATGGGTGATGTTTCTCCCAATGATCGACATGAATCCCAGCGATGTCACTTGCATCTATTCCACATTGAAGTTTGTGTGTGAGCATGCTTGTCGCCATGGTGTTACGCCCATCATCACCTTTGACCAACCACTATGGTGGCTAGCCCTCATGATCATTGAGACAGACATAAATGAGTTTCTTGTGAAGCAATCTATGCAGATAACGCGGTGGTACACATGATGTCAAGCAAGGCTATTGCACGAGCAATACAAGGACATCTACTTGTTGATGCAGCACTGAACGCCTTGATTTTGCCAGACGCACTTGGTATGCCACTCCCTCAACCATCTGCAGATCCACATGAAGTGGAGGAGACCAATGAGGCAACAGTGCCACCAGATGATGAGCCTACGACAAACGAAACTGCATGGAAACGCTGATCTGGATGAACGTGCTGCCCTCTACAAGAATCTGATCGAAGGTTCTGTGTCTGCAGAGGAGTTCTGCCAAGCTGATGTTTTAACCAGAATTAAGAAGCTCCTCTGGGCCAAAACCGAATCATTGAAGTCCTCTAGGACCGCCACACTTTGGCTACAGTACATGGAGATGGTTGACATACTACGGAAGTTTATGAGAGCAGAGCGCATTGGCAACTGGGCGTTGCACCTTGAAGCTGTGTCAGAAATGTTGCCCTACCTGGCAGCCTCTGGGCACAACCTCTACACCAAATCAATCCGCCTCTATGTGCAGCAAATGAGCATGCTCAAGGATGAACATCCAGATGTGTACCAACGATTCAAAGAAGGGTTCCATTTTGTCAGAAGAATTGAGCGCCTATGGGCTGGTCTGTCCGTAGACCTCACCATCGAACAGGTCCTAATGAGGAGTATGAAGACGGCCAGCGGTGGCCTGACGAGAAGGCGAGGCATGACAGAGCAACAGCGTCTCATATGGCTGCTCTCCATGCCTGCCTGTGCTGAAGTCAACAGTGCTATTCAACAGCTCACAGGTGTCAACTATAACACTGGTGAACAAAATAAGGACATGACAAATGCTAGACAAGCACGTGACATGAAAGACACACATGCAGTTATCAGCTGTCTGAAAGAGAGAAAACCCTTCAGCTCAGATCCGAGCTTGCGCAGCATTTCGACAGGGTACATGCAACCAGAAAAGTCAATGTGGATTCAGCAAAACCTGTTGGAACAGCAATCCTGACCAACATGGATGGACAAATTGCTGCTGACTACACATTCAAGAGGAAGGATCAGGCCATCACCTTGGCTTTGAAATCGGCAGTAAAGATTGATGGTGAGGCAGTACAAGTGGATCCCCAGCTGCTTTTCTAGCGACTGACAATTGCTGCAAAAGCTACAGAGGCTCTAGAGTCTGTGTTCAAATATGAGCTGTGCAGTTACCCACCAACTCTGTTTGATTCCTCACTGCTGCTCCGACAGCCACAGAAGCCAGTGCTAGCAGATGTTATCTGGACACTCCTGACAAAGGATGCATCAGGAATCACAGGCCAAGTCCACTACGTGTTGGATGTTGGGACTCTTGTTCAGCGCATTCCATATAGGCACGTAGTTCAACATACAAATGTATCTGCACGTAATACACAGAGTATGTCCCAAAGAAGTATGGACAGGCAACAGTCGTGTTTGATGGATATGATGGTACATCAACAAAGGGCACAGCACACCAAACACAAGCAAGGGGAATGCTGGAGCAAAGGTGATGTTTGATGAAGATATGCAGGCTACAATGAAGAAGGAACAATTCCTGGCAAACAAGACAAATAAGCAGCACTTCATCAACATGCTCAGCACCAAAATACGGGCAAAGAACTGCCAGACACATCATGCTGCAGGTGACGCTGGTCACCTCATAGTGCAGAAAGCAGTGGAGTCTGCAGCCACCACTGATACTGTGCTGATCGGAGATGACACAGATCTACTCATCCTGCCCATCTACCACACCAACCTCGAGTCATGTGACCTGTTCTTCCAACCCGAGCCAAAGAAGAATGTGAAGAAACCGCGTGTCTGGAACATGTAGTCTGTCAAACAGCAGTTAGGCCCCGATGTATAACAGCACATTTTCTTCATGCACGCTCTTCTGGGATGTGATACTACTTCCTGCGTGCATGGCTTTGACAAGGGAGCTTCCCTTCACAAATTCAAAACCAGTGCGCACTTCCGTTAACGTACAGCAATTGTGTTTGACAGACCGACAGCGTCCACCGATGATGTTGTAGATCGAAGCAGGAGAGAAAGCCCTGGCATGCCTGTACAATGGGAAGCCTACAGAGTCACTCAACGTGGCGCGACAAAAGCGGTTCTGCTAGAAGGTCGCCTCCAGCATTTCTCATGTGCAACACCAAAGTCTACCGCCCACATCAGCAGCAGCGAAACACCACAGCCTTCGTGTCTACTACCAGGTCCGGCAGTGGAAGGGCATTGCAGCTGATGAGCTACAACCAGATGACTGGGGTTGGCGGGAAAGAAGTGGAGGAGTAATTGTGCTCGTACGGACGGACTTGCCACCAGCTCTGGAAGAGCTCCTCAAGATGATCCGCTGCAACTGCCAGATAGACTGCAGCAGTCTGAAGTGCATGTTGCTGAAATGCACCTGCAAGAAGCAGAGCATAGAGTGCTCAGCGGCATATGTGGCAACTGTAGAGGGTCAGCATGCACGAACTCAACCCAAGTTGCATGTGACAGTGATGACGATGATTAGACTTTTTGAGGAAGATTGATGGATCGAAGACGGTAGTCTGATGCTATGGTAACTACATGCAGTATTATAATAATTATGAGCTATACATGTACGTTGTCCATCAGGCATACGGCATGCCATGGTATATAGTTGACACATCCTCAGAATAATGCTTTTTGGTCAGGTTTAGCTCATTGAAATGTGTTTCAAAGGATTCCTAGCCCTAAAATTCAAAGCCCTAAGTCATTTAGAAGCGGAGATATTGCGAAATATCAGGTTTATGGCGGCCATTTTGCAAAATGGCTGCCGTTTCGGCTTTTTGGCTAGGTTTAGCTCATTAAAATTTAATTAATTTGATTCCTTGTCTCTGGAAATGTATGTTTAGCACTTAAAATCAAAACTCTATGTTATTTAGAAGCAGAGATATGGGAAATATTAGCTTTACAACAAAAATATGAGTTTTATATCGGTTGCTAGGCATATTATTACCATAGCAACGGGAACTAAGCGATATTTATCATTAAAATAGATGAAAATGCATCATTTGACATCATAGTTCCTATAAAAGTAGTCATCTGCTTGGTGATAGCAATTTCTCATGATATATTATATTTCTCATGCCAATATGTTACCGTTGCTAAGGAGAAGATAGCCCTTAGCAACCGAATTTGCCATTTTGGCTCATAATAAAGTTTCAACTTTAGAGCGCTATAACTTTTTAGTTTGAAGAGTAATACACTTGAAATTTGGATATGGTATCAACCAGGATGCTGAACAGTTTTTCAGCAAGTCTCAAGTTGATTAGCATAATAATCAAATAAATATGGAGAAATATATATTTTGGCGCAATTCATATTTTTGAAAAAAATGGTAAAAAATCACACTTTTGGCTCAAAATTGGTAAGCAAATCATCCCGAAACCTATTGAATGAGGTATCATCTTGTAGGAAATGTAATTGTCTTTCATATGACACCTTATGCATGGTAAAATGAGATGCTGTTAAAAAGTAATCCACAGAATTGTACAACAGTAGTTATAAATGGCGGCCATTTTGAAAAATGGCCGCCACGGAACTTTCCCCCACTAGGATTCCTTAAGACTTTTGATATGTTATAGAGGACATATTTCTGGGTATAAAACAGTTGACAGACTTTCTGTTGCAATTAGTGGGAGGTTGACCCCTTTTTTTTCACGAAATGCCTGGACTATTCACAGTCTTGTATCTTATAACACAGAGCTCAGTAAGTGCATGCAGGATCTTTGTAGCCATTTGTAATAAACGGTAACAAATGCAACAGTTTTTTTTTTGGGCATATCAGAACAAGCCTTAAAGGTACTATGTCCCTTTTGCAGCCAACCTCAAATTCTGTAGAACTTTGCAAGAATTAAGAATATGTCATGTATGTCCTATCTGTGAAATTTAAACGTTAGCAGTGTCCTCATATTCAAATTATGCAAGGAAACCCGTTTACTTGCTAGATTTCACTGTCAGACACTATTGAGTGACTGACTGGCTTTTTTTCTTCTTTGGCAATAACATACATGAAAAGAGTTGTAAAGGGTACATGAGCATTTGTCTACATCAATAACCCAGTTCTTGTGATGGCCAAGATTAAACTGATTGAATCTTTGCGCAGCATAAAAAGTATGACCATTCGGTACAATTGTCTGAAAATCAAGACTATTACTTTTGGGCTCTACAGCCCTAAAGTCGATTTGACAACTAATAGTCATTATTTTCTCACTTGAAGACATTTTCAAGCCCCACCTTTTTTAGGGAAGTTCTAAATTAGTATTATCTTTCAAATGCAGGTGGAATTTAACTTTTTCATTTTTTTGGCTTGCAAATGGGACATAGTACCTTTAAGGCTGCTTTTTTGTCAGTGTCAACATCAGTATTGATTTTAACTGATCATCATGATCAACAACATTACTTGGTTGCAATGTAATCAGTGCAATCAATGTCATCTTATCAACACATATGGGCAATCAACATTGTCCCCCCCCCCCCTCCCATTCAGAGTCTAGCTAATTTGGGCAGGCATTCAATATTACGCTGTCTTCTTGATACCTACCCCAGCTAGCTACAATTAAAGCCCCACTGTACTACTTGTAGCCACTTGCTCCCTCTACATGTATATAGAAAACCATGCCTAAGCGGGGCCTGTTGGTCCCCTATGATCCTCTTTTTCTTAATTGAGAGCTGAGTTGATGAGATAACCATCTGTCAGTGACCACGCTAATCCCTCTAATCCTTCCTGGCCAAACTAGTGCAGAGTGGCTTTAAGATCAGAGGTAGACAAAGATGCTATTGGCATATGTAGTCAAAGGTTCTGGTGAAAAACGTCGCAGGTGTTGCATTATGTTACGAGGCCTATTAAAACATCAAGTCATTTTTTAGAAACAAGTTATTTTTGTATTTCTTCACAGGCAACAGCTTCAGATCATCGGCATCACAGCAAGTAACACCTGGGGTCTGTTCCTCCTCATCCTGTTGCTAGGATACGGGCTGGTGGAGGTACCTCGTCAGTGCTGGAGGGAGTCCAAGCGAGGTTACAATCTCGAGCATACCTACTTCCTACTGGCCAAGCTCAGCACAGAGAAGTCGGAGGCAGATGAAGATCTGGAAGACATCTTGGAGGTAAATTGATCCAGAATTTTTTTTTTTTTTTTTCAAATGTGTTGTACCACCATTTATAAGGTTTGTGTGTGTGTTTGTTACTCTTTTATTTGGGGGATAGAATATATGAGTTTTATCAGTCTGTAGCAGTTGTAGAAGTAGTAGACATAGTAGTAGTAGTAGTAGTAGAAGTATAAAAGGTTTGTGTGTGTGTTTGTTACTCTTGTATATGTCACTTGTCACTTAAAGATATACATGTAGACCAGTAGTGGTAAAATTGGGGTTCAAGGGTTTTTGGTGCAAAATATCCTTTCAATATTGTTTAAAATATTGCCTTCAGAAGTTTAGATGGTACTACTTCAACCTAAATTTGCAAAAAAGCAGAAATATATATATATGTATGCCCAAATGTTCAATGTTGAAGTGCATTTGCGATATCTCTCTTGGCTGGATCGATATGATAATTTACCAAATATTTCAATTACCCGGTAGTAGGCGGTCTCCCAGCAAAATTTGTACCATCGCGTATTAGTCAAAACATATTCTTTCACATGATTGGTACTACGAGCTTCCATTTCATTTTTTGAGAGGGGGGCATTTCCAGAACTGGTCTACTATACCTTTAACATGTTTCGCAGTAGGTCCTTTCCTACGTTCACTGTATTGATTGGTACTTGTATTTATCCTTGGCACCAGGACATCCGCAGAGCCTCCGACGCTGTCAGATACAACCATCCTCTGCGCAAATATGTCAACACGGTGGTTTCCAAATGCCCTGACGAATTCCAGGACTCCCTTACCAAGCATTTGGATGACTTCCAGGAGTATGGTGACCAACGTGTTCAGGTACACTGGTTATGCGCCGTAACCATTTGATCTTTCTAATTCAATTCAATTCAATTCTTTTCATTCATCCAAATTCACAAGAATACATGGAAATTCGTTTTGATCACACATTGTACAAATACGTAATATATGAGAAACTATATCATTATGTTTATAATTTGGGGGGAGTTTTTTTGTCGCTGTTTATAGGGGATTTAAAAAAAAAAATCCGCCCGACCGCCCGACCACCCGACCCATGTTCTGGCACTTACAGGGCAATACAACACCTTTTTTTGTTAGGCCTTAGTGTGTTTAATACTGTTGTTCAGACCACCTGTCCCATTCTCCTTGAAAAATGAATGATAGAAAGATATGGAAGGTTGGTAGAGTTAACCCATCCCTATGCTTCCTCTATCGATCCATTCTGGTTATTGATGATGGATTTCTTGGAAGCCCAACAGATTGATATTATACTAAATATGTGCATGTATATGTCTTGGAAATGTGCCATATGAATCCATGTATAATTATCGTTTCAATCATACAGCCGCCGTCAGAGAATGAGTTGGTACGTCTGCACAGTAAAGTCATGTTTGCCGTTCAAGCCAAACATCGAGCAGACACGCAATGGAAGGTCCTCGTCAGGGGAGCATTCTTTCTAGAGGACTTGCAACGAAATGAAAAGGGCAACACATCGTAAGCATTCAGTTCTATATATAAACCACAATAATTCAATATTTTAGATACGTTGCATAAAACTCAACAAAGTAGTGTGCATATACATGTATGTAGATTTGGTTCATTTTTATTGTGTACAGCTTAGAAAAAAAACATACTGCTTTCTAAGTTTCTAAATATTTTGTTTGAATTTCCACTTTATCTTTAATCTACCCCCTTAAAATCACTTTTCTACAAAATTTCTGATTAAAAAAAAGAAAAAGAAAAAGAAGAGAAAATACTCCAAAACTGTTTATTGATATGCAAGGGTTATAAGAAATATGGAGACATTATACATGTACATATGCAGATTTGCATTTATTTGTGACAAACATAAGATGTTTATCGCTTTGTGAGGGCCTCCGGTCCTGAAAAGCGCTATATAAGAACGAGCTATTATTATTATTATTATTATCTATTCTTCATAGAATTAGATAAACTGTAAAACCCAACACTTGCAAATGTCAAATTTCCCTGTTGTGATTCAGTTATCTTGCTACATGAAACTTAGAATTCTTAACTGCCCCAAGAGCTTCATACAGTACATGCAAACATTTCTGGGGGGTGTACAGATACATGTAGCTGACAGATGCAGCTCAGAACATAAGTCATTGACATCACTTGAACCACTAACAAACTTCATTTAAGTGACTCGGTAACGTTGCCTCAGATTCTGAAACAAAACTCCTGGGTTTAGCTCATGCTGCAATCATAATTATAAACCTTTAGGTCAGTCAGAAATCCCATGAGTTTTACATGCCGATCGCCTGTCTGATTATCAAGATAATTTATGATTGGAAATCGAAATTTCATTTTTTGTTTTCCTAACGGTTATTATTACACTACAGTTTATTGGGGAAAATGAGTATGGTAAAACCGGTCACTCAAAGATTTTTTACTTTTTTGAGGCACTTCATGAATTGTGAAGTGCAATGTTTTTAGGGACTACAATATCACACCATATCACAGACAGTGATAACGCGTAGGGCCATGCATCTCAGATTTAACATTGTTAAATGATGCCTTTAATGAGTGATGCAATGTCTCAAAGTTTCAATGGTCGAATGCATACTATCTGTAAACCCCAACTTGAAAGCAGGGGGGTGTTTCACAAAGATCCAATGTCAAACTTATCTCTAAGTTGGACTTAAAAATTATAGAGATCCATTTGTAGGCTTAAAATGAAATATATTAAAAAGCAGAAATTCTAGTATTTTAGACTTGTTATAAGTTACACATCAAGAACATGAAATCTCCTTGATAAAAGAAAATATGAATGATTTTGAATCAACATTTTATCCATTTTAAAATAACTTTTACAAATTATTTTCATAGATGCTAACGGCTTTCCATAATTGTTAAGTCCAACTTAGAGATAAGTTCAACAAAGACTAAGATTGAATTTAAGTTAGACTTAACTATGGCAGGCCATTCATGCCACTAGTTCCTCTGACCATTCCTGGCATTGGCTTCTCTAGGGACGTACAAATCGTGGTCACAAATCTACAGAATTTACTCTTTTTGATAGTTCGTTATTGAAGGAAAAAATATTATCTAAAGATCATAATTGTGAGACCAATGGTGAGAGCAACCAGTGGCATGAATGGCCTGCCATAGTTATGTCCAACTTAAATTCAATATTAGTCTTTGTGAAACACTCCCCTGGTGTTATAGTAGATGCACTCTACTCTCAATCTGGAAACCCTGCCCTTTACAATCTGCCCCCAAATCTTAATGATCTTCTGTCTATTTTTTATCAACCACAGTCAATTCCATCATACCTTTGACCCCAAATTCAACACCCTCGAGCAGTTCATCTGCACCCCTACGGTAGAATGGTACTGGCGAGTTTGGTTCTTACCCACAGCCATGAAGGTGATAGCCGTCGTCTTGGCTCTCTTCTCCCTCATGGTCATCTGGTCTGAGATGACCTTCTTCAGCATTAGTCCCGTTCTCTCCCTCTTCGCCATCTTCGTTGACAAGGCCAATGAAAACTACAACTTCCTCTGTATTGAGGTAAGGTTGAAGAATGGAATGATATACAAACTTACAGCTGCATAATATGCCATAACGCTTACCGGTATTACAGTATAACAGTATACATTTAAATCAGCTTTGAATATTTTGTCATCATAAATGATTTTACGGAAAAATCTCAACGTATGAATGAAGAAACATGACATTTCTCATCTATCTTTCTAATCGTTACAATTGAGTAAATGCTGAAAATATCGTTTCCACTCTGTTCTCATGCAATCTTGAGTTATAAGTGTTTTAAGTTAAGAAGAAAGGTTTTTTGTTATCATCCCATTGTTTTGATTTTTGTATTCATTCCCCCAAATGCATGTTATTTTTTTGTTTTTGTATTTTATTATAATTTTGATTCTTTTGGTCAAGAGTCTGAATATTTGTGATTGTTATGTGCCATCTGCGCATCAGTGTATTACTGGCAGGATTGTTTAAGCTTTTATTCTCTCCCTCCTAATTCTCATCTTTTGAACACCAATTCTGATTAAAGTAATTCTTTCTTTCCCAAAGGTACTCTGTATCATCATCATAGCATACCTGTGTGTATGCTCCTACTACACTGTCTTCAAGGTTCGTGTGTTTAACTACTATCATCTGGCATCCCATCATCAGACGGATGAGAGTAGCCTTCTCTTCTGTGGCATGTGAGTTCTGCTGCTCTCAATAATATTTTTTCCTGGGGCATTGTCAGTATATATATATATATTTAAAAAAAAATTATTTATTTTAATTTAAAAACAAACATACATGTATATTTATTTATTTTTTATTTTTTTTACTTTATTTATTTATTTATTTATTATTATTATTATTATTAATATTATTAGTATTATTATTATTATTAATATCATTATTATTATTATTATTATTATTATTATTACTATTTTTTCTTTCTTCTTTCCATCAACAATGTTTCATGGCATACTTTATTGCCAGCACATTTTGAATGTGGGAAGGATGGGGGGGGGGGGGGGGGGGGACATTTTTCATCAGTACTGTGAATATATATTTTGATTCTTCATCTACTGCTTGCGAGCTGGTAGAGTCGCTGTCCGGCAAGCAGTAGATGGCAGGTTCAAATCCCGCTGGTTCCAAGATTTTTTCTGACTTGTTTTTCAATTACAGATTAATCAATCGATCTTATTTACTGGGTGTAAGCCACAAATATGTTCAAACTATTGAAATTTCTCCCAGGAAGCATTACAGTGATGTTTGTGAAATATTACCTTGAAACTTGCCCCATAACATTATTAAATTGTATATTAACTTCTCAGGATGCTGTGCCGATTGACTCCTCCTCTTTGTCTCAACTTCTTGGGTATGATCCATCTCGATGATCATGTGACTGGACAAGAGGACCTGGTCGAGACATCCTATACTCTGGTGAGTTTACACTCCAGCAGCTTTTCAGTGTTACATCAGGGGGGTGTTTCACAAAGATCCTAAGTTGAACTTATCTCTAAGTTGGACTTAACAGTTATGGAAAGCCATATAAGCATCCTTGAAAATATTTTGTAAAAGTTATTTTAAAAGGTTTTAAATGTTGATTTAAATCATTCATATTTTTTATTTTCCTGGGACATTTCATGTTCTTGATGTGGAATTCATGAAAAGTCTGAAATACTTGAATTTTCGCTTTTTAATATATTTACTTTTAAGCCTACGAATGGCTGTCCATAATTTTTAAGTCCAACTTAGAGTAAAGTTCAACTTAGGATCTTTGTGAAACACCCCCCTGCTTTCAAGTTGGGGTTTACAGATAGTATGCATTCGACCATTGAAACTTTGAGACATTACATCACTCATTAAAGGCATCATTTAACAATGTTAAATCTGAGATGCATGGCCCTACGCGTTATCACTGTCTGTGATATGGTGTGATATTGTAGTCCCTAAAAACATTGCACTTCACAATTCATGAAGTGCCTCAAAAAAGTAAAAAATCTTTGAGTGACCGGTTTTACCATACTCATTTTCCCCAATAAACTGTAGTGTAATAAAAACCGTTAGGAAAACAAAAAATGAAATTTCGATTTCCAATCATAAATTATCTTGATAATCAGACAGGCGATCGGCATGTAAAACTCATGGGATTTCTGACTGACCTAAAGGTTTATAATTATGATTGCAGCATGAGCTAAACCCAGGAGTTTTGTTTCAGAATCTGAGGCAACGTTACCGAGTCACTTAAATGAAGTTTGTTAGTGGTTCAAGTGATGTCAATGACTTATGTTCTGAGCTGCATCTGTCAGCTACATGTATCTGTATGTGTGCAGTGTCTTTAATAGTACCACCCCTCTTATGGTTAACCTCTCCATTATCAGCTTACAAACAAGAGCATGGTTATCAAATGAAAGATAACTCATCAAATTGCTTTACTACATTATGTGCTGCCGCTATATATGTATCAAGTGAGACTTGTTATCCAGGCAATATCGTAATTTGATTTCCTATGTTGCTTATAAATTGATAAGTATAATGTATAGAGAGACATTTTCTTAGATAACATGTAAATCGTTTTGAAGATGAACTGTTTGCAATCTAGTTTTTTGTTTGGAGTGGCAGATGTGTAATTCATTCCCCTGAAATTGCATGGTCTACTGACTACTGACCTGTCAGTATGCCTTCAGGAGAAATTGTATGTCAAGAGGAGTGTTTCACAAAGACTAAGATCGACTTAAAGTTGGACTTAATTATGGCAGGCTGTTCATGCCACTGGTTGCTCTCACTATTGGTCTCTCAATTATGATCTTTAGATGATAATTTTTTCCTTCAATAATGAACAATTATGTCAAAAAATGTAAATTCTGTAGATTTATGACCACAATTTATATGTCCCTTGAAAAACCAATGCCAGGAATGGTTAGAGGAGCTAGTGGCATGAATGACCTGCCATAGTTAAGTCCAACTTAAGGTCGGTCTTAGTCTTTGTGAACCACCCTCAAGGACCATAGTACTCATTCTTTAAATTCTCATCTGCCTTCTTGTAGATCATGGGTCGTCACATCGATGTGCTACCCTTCATGGCATCTGGGTTCTACATCTATTACCCGATTCTGGTAGCTATACTCTGCTTGGCTACATACTTTGACCTGGGCAGCAGGTGCCTTTCTTGCCTCGGCTTCCAGCAGTTTGTGGGCGATGATGACATGACCAAAGATCTAGTGGATGAGGGCAGGGAGCTTATGAAAAGGGGTGAGTTTTTTATAGTCAGTATAATCATATGGTGGAGTGGTGGTGGTGGTGATGGTAGTGGTAGTGGTAGTGATACATGTGGTGGTGGTGGTATTAATGGTGTTGATGGTGGTGGTGGTGGTGGTGGTGGTAGTGGTGGAGGTGGTGATGGTGGTGGTGGTGGTGACGGTGGTGGTGGAAGTAGTAGTAGTACTGCAGTAGTAGTAGCAGCAGTAGAAGTAGTAGTAGTAGTGGTAGTAGTAGAAGTAGTAGTAGTAGTAGAAGTAGTGGTAGAAATAGAAGTAATAGTTGTAGTAGTAGTAGTAGTAGTAGTAGTAGTAGTAGTAGTAGTAGTAGTAGTAGAAGTAGTAGTAGAAGTAGTAGTTGTAGTAGTATTCTGGACATCCAGAGGCTTGTTCACATACATGTATATGCCAAAAAGAACCCACAATTTGTAAGTTTTTTTTTAAAGCCTATCTGCACTAGTTTGGCCAGGAGAGATTAGACCTCCCTGCATGGTCACTGACATGTGGTTATATCATCAAATCAGCTCTCAATTAACATAAGAAAAAGGGCACGGGGGGGGGGGGGGGGGTCCAACGGTCACAGATTAATTAGGCATTGTTTGTTATATATAGAGGGCGCAAGGTAGCTATACTCCTGTAGTGCAGTGGGGCTTTAAAGCATACTGCTCTTCATATTTTTTGTATCGTTTGATACACAGATCAGATGAAGGAGTATGCATAGGACCCTTGTTGTGTGCAACTACTTATCTAAATCCCCACTTGCTGTTCATATTGTACACACAGGCCTGATAAAAACCCGATATAAATCGGTTTCCTGATTTTTTTAATTTTTCCCGATTTTTCCCCGATTTTTTCTTCCCGATTTTAAAAAAAAAAAAAATCCAGAATTTTTTTTTTTTTTTTTTTTTACCAATTTTTTTTTCCTTCCCTATTTTATCCTGATTTTCCAGATTTCCCTCTTATTTTCTCTATTCTTCCCTATTTTGCCCTATTTTTTCCCCAATGTTCTTACTCGAAAGGGGGGAAATGTTGTTAGATGCCATTTTTTCCCCACGAATCCTCTTTTTTTTTTACTCAAGGGGGGCGTGGTTGAGGGGAAAACAAAAAACTTATTTTTTTTTTAGTGCTCACTATCACCCCTGACACAGTAAGTTGTTTATTGTGGTGTGGTACGAACAAGCCTCGAGTCAAAGCTGAGGGCCAAAATTGTAGAGATGCATACTGCACAAACTCTTTGATTGGTCATCATTGTAATTGACTGATGCATTTTGAAAGGCATACGATATAACTATAGGCTAGAGTTTCTCTTTGAAGCCAGGGTATTTGTACCGACACTACTTCAGATCTATGTATACTGCCATCTGCTGTCCACAATGTCCCAATAGGGACTTTTAGATTTGCACAACGACAACGTGGATTGCTACAATCGACGACCTTTTAATGCACTGCCTTGAATGGACGTCACACGTATTAGTCCACGCAAATCTAAAAGTCCCTAATGTGTTTGTCCCACAGCCATGTCCCACAATGCATCATGAACTGCATGACTCGCGTGTGATGATACTTGGGTACAGGAACTGGAAATCGCTCTATGTAAGCCCTCACCCAAAGATGGTAAAATAACCTGCCTTTAACAGAGTATTTGATGTCACATAAATTACTCGTTTGTTTTTGCAGAAAAAAGGAAGAGGGAGAGAGCTGCCCACAGTGAAGAGAGGAAGAAGACCTTTTCAAAATTTAGTTTACAGGAGAATGCTGAAGCTAACCGCAACAGTCGTCGCTTCAATAACCGAGGATCAGGAACGGACAGTGACACCGGACATAGCAACTACAGCACTGCATCAACCAAAGGTTAGTTTCGTCAGCCGGTAGCATGTTGTTATGCCATAGGAATCCGAATCTGAATCTTTATTTTGTTTTCAGACTGTTTTCAATAAGAATCAGTTTGAAGGATGAAAAAGAAGAACGATTTCTACACCCATGCAGGCTACATTTTGCAAGATAAACATGTTGCATGTTGCATGTTGACAAAAAATGTGTAAAATAATCAAATCAATTACCCATTGTCATGTAAATTCAAAATACTCTCTTGGTTCTGATATAAGTATAAGAAATTCACCCATATTTCTCTTTGCTCTTATCTCCACATTCGCATACCTGTACAGCCAAATACACCAGACACAAAAACCGAGTAGATGATAAAGTCGAGATCATGGGTGATGAAGAGCCAGTCGATTACAACGAAGAAAATGCCTCCCAGTTTGTGGATGGGCTTGGTGACTATTCCAGAGGTAAGGCGAGCAACGGCAAAGCAGCGCCTCCGAGGCGTGGTCCAAACTTCAGCTCCAATGCAAAGCCCAAGAATATATTTGACGACGTTTGAATCTGTGTTGATGGTGTCTCGTACTGTCTTGTACTGTCGAGTGAGCAGTTAGCCGAGTGCAATGTGTGTTCGTGTTTTCATGGCTAAGGTTTTCTCATTATTTAAAAGCATAAAGAAGCAAAGTGTATCGTTTATATTTAAAATACATTAATCTGTACACTAGCATGTGTCAATACCAGGAAAAATATGATTACTGCTTATTTCCTATGACCTTATAACAATAGTAAAGCATGTTTTATAAACATATTTACATTATACTGTTTTCAGTGTTTGCTTGTCATCACATACTACATGTATTTTGAAGGGATTGTATGACATAGCTTTATCTATTTCCATTGGTTTTATGAAATACTGTAGTTTGAGATCTCATATGTTGAAACGATCCGCAAGCTGTAGGTAAACTTTGAAAGTACATGTAGTAGATATATCTGCTGACAGATGATTGCCCATTCTTGAGAAAAAAAATCTTCTTCTTTGCTGGTACATGGAAATAGATCTGAATCGATGGATAGGTATTCTCTTTTATTGTAGGTTTTATTACAGCTAACACTAATTGTTTAAAAACAGGGTAGACTTTTGTTTGTGGAAAATGTTGAAGATGTGAACATGTTTGTGAAGTAAATGTAAACTGCCATTAATTGCTGCCCAGATGTTGTTTATTAAAAAAAATCTCATATTTATGGTGAAAGTGTCAACAGATTGACGTGATCACAAATCAGGTAGACTTATAAAACAATGCTTGCATCCTAAGTAAAAATAAAGCCATTTCAATTCACGTGCTCAAAGCCAGAAGAACATTGTTTTGTTTCATTAAACACAATGGCCCGGATTCACAAAGGAGGTTTAGATTTAACTCATGGTTTAAACCCTCATTTACATAACCCATGGTTTAAAAATTAGCGCAAAATAAGCGTACATTGCCTTCCGCGCATCTTATATTGGACCTCTGACTTGTGTCACGCTTATTTTGTGCTTATTTTTAAACCATGGGTTATGTAAATGAGGGTTTAAACCATGGGTTAAATCTAAACCTCCTTTGTGATTCGGGCCAGAGTGTCATGGACTATACCCTTCCTGGTCTCAATAGAAGAATTCTCTTGTTTCCACAACCTCAATTTGATGTAGATTGTTTGGCACGACTAAGGGTTAAATATGTGCCTAGTACTGGAAGAAAGTGGGGAAAATATTTGTATTTAGTGGAAACTCTTCAGTCTGTTTAAGAGGAAAAAATCTGGATTGTGTTTGTTTGTAATTTTTGTAATATGCGATGCTATTTGTACTAACACAGAGGGTTGATGTATGATGTGTGGAAGATAAAAACAACTTTAAAGTTTTTGAGCGTCAAGTAACGCCTGGCTGGAATGCTCCCCAGGGAGTAGAGATTGTGCACACAGTGTGTGCGGGCAAGCCCTGAATCCAATGACCGGGGTAATAGTATATTTGTAAAGCGCTTTGAGACATTGTATTAAGCGCTATATAAAAGCTAAATATTATTATTATTATTAAACCCTACAAGCTGAATTTGCAATTGTCTTCAAAGTGAGAAGAGAAATACGATTATCATTTTCATTTCATTTTGTCACCAGTACAAAGATAGCATTACAATATTTATTTTTTCCTTAGGTCTTCTCGAAAATGAAAGCATGAAAACATCAAAAAGTTCTTTTGTAGCAGAAAGAGGGCAGTCTGCTCCAAAAAATTTGTGTATTTTCTTTACAATTGCGAGTGTTTTCTTGAAAGCTTTACCTTCTCTATAGGCTGTTCCAATTTCACTCTTTTGCTACCTCCTTAATCAGTATTTGACATAGCATATAAATAAATTATTAACATTTGTACAGTGCTTGTGTGGTAAAATTATTCTCATACATCATATGTAGCTACTTTACATATTATGGTTAATATTCAAAGATGTAGAAGATGAAAATATTTAGAATTTATGTTTTATATTTGGAAGAAATGTTCAATTCATTATTTATTTTTTTTTTTTTTCATAATTGAGTTTCGAGATGTACCTGCAAAATGAAATAGATACTGTCATTAAAGGGATCCGGTAACACTATCTTAGCTCATGCTGCAATGATAATTATAAACCTTAAGGTCAGTCAGGAACCCCATGACTTTTACAAGCCCATCGCCTGTCTGATTATCAAGACATTTATGATTGAAAATCGAAATCAAATTTTGTGTTTGCCAAACGGTGTTCATAACACTACAGTCTATTGGGGAAAATGAGTTTGGTAAAACCGGTCACTCAAAGGTTTTTACTTTTTTGAGGCACTTCTTGATAATTTTGAAGCTCAATTTTTCTAGGGCTTCAATATAACACCATATCACAGACACTGATAACATGTACGGCCGTGCATCTCAAATTTAACATTGTTAAACGATCCCTTTAAGATCATTTACATTTTCACCAAGAGGAACAGAAAATGTGGCCATTGTAGACAGATGACATTTCTTGACTGGTTCTAAAATGCTAATTTCTTTCTCAAGGGAAACAAAACATATGGCCACTATAGACAGGTTGCCATTACAGAGAGGTGCCAACTAAGACAGGTTTGACTGTAGAAGTAAAGAATTAAGAGCAGCAGTGAACCAATTGTTTAAAACTTCATTGAATCCATTAGGAACAGATTTGGGTCTCATAGCTTGAAACCTAGCATTTTTGTTTGTTTTTGTGGTTAACATATTAATGGATTTGTATGCATCACATTTCAGAATAGAAATTTACAGAACTGTTTCATTCAATTAAAATAGAAATAGTTGATTGTACTAGAGACAATTCCTGTAGTTCATGATAAAAAACAAACATTTTTAACAGGGTTTAAGTCTTTTAAAAATCCCATCCTGTGGAAAAAAGTATCATTTTTCTGAGATTACACTAAAAAGAGTAGAACGAAGTGAACTAAAGAGTTTGCTTCCAAATTGAGACAAGTTTTATCAGTCAAATCAGTTATGCTCACTTTCAGCATGACTTCATTACAACTTATACCAAATATCCTTCGAACCAGCAACATAAGCCTGTGACGTTGTAGCAGAGAATACAACGCCAGAGAAATACATCAGAACCGTCAATCCAACAAACTATGCTGAGTTGGACAGAGATTATTAGGGCAATGAAAGCATACTACATAGAGAGATATATTATGTATTTATTGATAATTCTTATGTCATCAAGAGATCATATGTCATTATGTTACTATGAATTTTATTTCTTGAAGAATATCGAAGTAATTTTATACATTTCAAATTGATATTCTGTCGAAGGTGCTGAAGAACAGACAGTGCAATCTGGTTCATTAAAAGTTTTGTTTGAATTCTCATTTTAGATTTTTCACTTTTGTTAAAAAATGTGTCACGAAACTACAATATGAATTTATGAGCCTTATTTAGGAATTGTGTTTTCCATTAAGTAGAAATTTCTAATGTATGTTAAGTTACGTGTAGATTTACAAAAAAGTAACTAGCATTTTTGTGATCTAAAAAATATTATTGTTCTTCTTATTTATTAATTCAGAAGGAAATATTTTCATGAAGTATGCTTTGCATTCCGAATACTATACCCACTGATAAAAACCTGAGGTGTATATGGCAAGGTTGTCATGTAGAATATGTGTTTTACTGTTTCACTCATTTTCGTTTCTGTACATGATTTGCAAGTCAGTGTGGGTGGTGTAGTGTATATTGTGTATCATTACTTTCAAATGGATTATAGGGCCGAGAAGTATTCATTTATTGTGACACTGTCCAAGTATGATTTACTATATCTATATATATATATATCAGAAGAAAAAGGAAATTAATACTGAGCATAATAACGATTCCTATGATTTAACATTCTATTTACATGTACATGGAACAGTACTTGAGTATCTTATGTAGGAGAAGAATAATAAGTCTACATGTATGCTACCCCCCAAAAAAAATATAAAGAGTTTTAGAGATTATGAGCATATTATTATTGTTATTTTTGTTTTATTGTGATTATTATTTTTGTTATTATGATTATTATTATTTTCGTTATTATAATTATTATTATTTTTGTTATTATAATTATTATTATTATGATTGATATTATTCATCATTATTATTATTGTTATTATTGTTATTAATTGCTCTTTTTGTTGTTACTATTATCTATGATATAAGATCCTGGAATCAAGCTCTGATCCCAGACATTTAGATCTGTGTGTTCTTGGCTTTTGTTTGGAAAATTTTCCATTATATGGCATTGAGAAGTGCTGAAAAGTGCAATTTTTGTGTTGATTTTTACCATGGAAATATTACATTTGTACTCCCAGCAGGATACAGTATTTTAGTTTTCGTCGAGAACACTATGGGTGTTGGTAAATGTAGTTGCATTCAACAAATATATTAATTTATCTGTACACCAGTTCAGATGCCAGAATGTAATGTTATTGTGTTTTGCATTTGAATATCAATGTATCTGGCATAAGAGGATTCTTACATGTAGTTGATGAAGTAATGAGGATTTTTTTTCTCCAGAAAATACTTTATTCAGGGGATAAAGGAATATATCATTTGGGAGAGCCAGAAGGGCAGTAAGTTAAATAGTAACTACACATGTTTAACTCCATTTTGGTTTTCAGCAGATGATATTTAACTAGCCAAAGTCATATGTCTTAACTAAGAAATATCTTAAAATCCTGGCTCAGATTTAAGGAAACAAATTGTGAGTGTGGTCTTGGATTTCTTGGATATAACCAGCATTAATATTATTTCCTCCAAATTTTTGCAAATGTGGTTTACCTTAAATTAAAATGACTAGTAACATTGGTAAAGGTCAATGAAAAAAAATGCATAATTTTTGTATGAAGTATTACTTATTATATTCCTTCTACTGTACTAACCCTCTAACATGCTAACAACTCTGAAAAAAATTCTCAAACCACAAAGATATTTATGGTTTTCTTTCAAGGCGTCACTGTGCAACACCCTCTAACAGTACAATCTCCCAACCATTTTTGAATTTTCCTAACCGTTTTGCCATGAAAATAAGACATAAGACAGGCTTTAACAAATTTTTCAACATATAAATGTCTTGAATTGGTATAAAGAGCCAATTCATTGCTTTGTTACGATTTACATTCACCCAAAATGTATATAAATTGTAATAATATATTTTGGAGAATTAAGGAATCGATCAGATCAGTTTTTCCGAACTTGTATCATTATAATAATGGTTTGTTTTCACTCAAACTTTCAGGTTATCTTTAATTGTACATCTAGCATTGAAGTCACTACCTTAGCACCATTTTCTCTCATCTGAACAATGTAACAAACTCCCTTTAAATGAATAATGAAATGTGTTTCGTTTTCATGCGTGCAAAAGAAAGTCAGATTTTCAGAAAGGTGTTATCGTTTAATTTTTTTTTTTATTAAAGTCACTCTGAAGTTGTTTACATATTTCCTGTTTGTGTGAGTAAAAAATGATAGTTACATACACATGGCTGTATTAATGAAGTGCACATAAACTAACCTTTTCTCTGTATGTACTAAACAGTGCATTTTATGATTTGCAAAACCTGTAACGAAAAGTTATTGACTAGATTTGTGACAACATTATTTGAAAGTCGTCCTCGAAAAAAGAAAGAAGATACCATTGTATTATTAGTGCCCGTATGTGCTCACAAAGCATGTGTACATATTTATTTACTTTCAGTGTTTTCTTTTGTTTTGTTTGCTACTTTCAATCTATTTGTGTTCTCATTTAGCCCAAATGGAGAAATGTTTCAAACTAACGGCAAACTTTGAAACAATTTTGATATCAGTTGTAAAATGAAATTGTTATCCTACTCATTCCAATACTTTTCTTTCATTGTATTCTATAGCTGCTGTGTTGTACATGCTTGTTTGTGATACGAATTCTATCAGCTATTTATTAAATAAAACGTTTATGATCGCTATTATAGTGGCATAGTATGGACAAATAAAGACATGGTGAAGTTATTTATGTATAGTTAGTCATGTTATATGTGTTTCCATTGTCAAAAAGGGCAATCTGCTGTACTTTCTTACTTTTTTGAGAAAAAACAATTATATCATTTCATGAATATGATAATAGTGATTATAAGAAGAATGGTGATGATGATGATAGAAGTGGTAGTACATCGTAGTTGTAGTAATTAAAACAAAATAATTAATAACAGTTATAATAATAACGATGGTGATAATAATTATAATAAAAAGAATGATAATAATGATACGACTAATAATATTGTTAATATTACATATGAGTATTATTAGACCAGTTGCCTTATATGGTGCCAAAAGCTTTCAAAGGAATAAATTCCTACTAGGTATCCATTTAATACACCAAGGAGGAAAGTGACAAATGTCTTGCCAAATGGCATCAGTGCCGTCTACGGTCCGGTGTCTTATCCACTAAACCATGATACCTCTATACTTCAATCATTTCATAAGGGCAACATTACCAGAAAGGAGCTCTAAACAAGCATTACAAATTAAACAACATCTAAAGATCACACCTGAAACCAGTGGCGGCTTGGGGAGGGGGGCACTTCAATTTAAAATTCAATCTGTTTTCAAATTTTTCTTCAACGGCAAAATGTTCTCACTACATATTCTATGAGATTAAAGTTCACATCAAGACTACCCGTTTCTATCTAAGGACAAATACTTTACATTTTTTAAAGCAGGATTGCACTACTTGTAGCTAATTGCGCCCTCTATATAACAAACAACGCCTAAGCGGTACCCGTTGGTCCCCCATGGTCCCCTTTTTCTTGTGTTAATTGAGAGCTAGTTTGATGAGATAACCACCTGTCAGCTGGTGACCACGCACGGAGGTCTAATCCGTCCTGGCCAAACTAGTGCACATAAGCTTTAAAGAATAAACATTTTTCAACAGTCAAATTGTTTGGTCGGATGTTCCGCCCATGATATCATCTCCCTGTGGCTATCTAAATATCGTGTGAGTCAAAAAAAAAGTTTACACTTCGAAAATTATTTTAAAAGTCAGCTATGAACAGTAAATATTGGATAGTTGGAAAGAATTTTAAGTAATTCAATAACAAGACCTTAAATTTTAAATGAGAGAAAATGATAACGATGAAGGTAACAATTATATTTGGTGAAAAAATATTACAGGGAACAATGATTGTAACCCAATTATTATTAAAAAATACTAAAATACAGCAGTTGAAGCGCAGTTGACAAATCTATTTAATAATAATAATAATAATAGTTCGTTCTTTTATAGCGCATTTCAGGACCGAAGGCCCTCTCAAAGCGCTTTGCAATGTACAATGTACGTTTACATAATAATTGCTAGAAGCATTCATCAAAACGGTGGGTTTTCAGCGCTCTAAAACTACATCAATCATGGAGCGTAGCGACACTGGGAGAGCGTTCCCAAGTTTTGGTCCACCACATGCAAATGCCCTGTCACATAGGTTTTTGTGGCTCCATGAGTGAGGGTGAGAAGGTGTTGGGAAGATGACCGCAAACGCCTTGGTGGGATGTACGGTGTGAGCAAATCTCATTTAGGCGAAATCTACACCTCAGGAGAGCACCAAGTTCTTTATGCAATTCTTGTTCTGTCAACTGCAGTACAAAGGATAATAGCAGGAGAATATGAAACGCTTCCAGGGGCGTCGCCAAAGGGGGGGGGGGGTGCGACACCCCCCACCTGTCAGGATATTGTCGGTAAAATTGCGCTGCCGTCGGGAAAAAGAGAAAAGGGGGAGGGAAAAAAGAGAGGGAAAAAAAGAGAGGGAAAAAAGAGAGGGGAAGGGAAAGAAAAGAAAAAAAGAAAAGGAAAAGAAAAGAAAGAAAAGAAAGAAAGGAAAGAAAGGAAAAGAAAGGAAAGAAAGGAGAAGAAAGAAAGAGAAAAAAGAAAAGAGAGGGGGGGGGGGGGGGGGGAGAGGAAAGAAAGGAAAAGAAAGAAAAGAAATAAAAGGAAAAAAGAAGAAAACAGAGTGAAAGGGAAACAAAAGAAACGGGGAATGAAAGAGAGGAGAGAGAGGGGAGGTAAGAGTCTGAGAGTGGAGGAATGGGAGTAAAAGAGAAAAGGGGGTTGTTGGGTGGAGTCGTCTCGTCGAGGGAGCAAGAAAGACACGGGTAAATATGTTGGTGTGTCGGGTCAGCTGTGTCGGTATTCTTGCTCGATCCTCATCAATGCATAAGTTTGAAGTCGGTGAAATGTATATTGTCGGTCGGCCGACAAGTTTTTTTCCCTACGAACTGCGACTTCTTATCCGCTGTGACGACTTCGAGAGTGACTACAACTACAATACTTGTATTTTCTCGAAGTTTCACTTTCCTATAATATCAGCTAAAGAAATCAGAGGTTTAAATTTTCAGGGAAACTAAATTCAAACAAGGTTTAAGAGTCAACAACGGTACGACGAATCATTTTCCTTTCTTTATATTGTGATGAAACGCCAAAAATTCCGCGCTTCGCGCGGAAGGGGAAACTTCATTTAGACGAATCGAGAACGGTACAACGAATCGTCTTCTTTCTCTAATAATTTAAGGAAACGTCAAAGCTTCCGCGCTTCGCGCGAAAGTGGGAAACTGAATTCAGACAAATAGGGCTTACTAAAAGTCGAAAACGTTACAACGAATCGTGTTCTTTCTCTAATAATTTGAGGAAACGTCAAAGCTTTCGCGCTTCGCGCGAGAGGGGGAAACTGAATTCAGATGAATAGGGCTTAATAATAATAAGATTCGAAAAAACGGTATGAGGAATCGTCTTCCTTTCTTTATATTGTGATGAAACGCCAAAAATTTCGCGCTTCGCGCGGAAGGAGAAGGGGAGACGACGAATCGTCTTCTTTCTCTAATAATTTAAGGAAACGTCAAAGCTTCCGCGCTTCGCGCGAGAGGGGGAAACTGAATTCAGACAAAATTAATAGGGCTCATTTAGAGTC